GCACAAAACTTGTCATACGTTGAATGACCCGCCTGTATCGTAGAAACTCTACGACCACCATAGTGAAACGACCGTGGGGGTTACTCGTATCACCCCCACTATCGCTTCACTGTAGAGTTTCTACGATACAGGGGGAGCCGCACACTCGTGTGCGGCGGGTCATACAACGGCGGGTCATACAACGTATTATATGACAAGGGGTCACAACGTGATATAACACAAAACAGCATATTTGTTACACGTTGTATACTGTATACCTATGACCTAGTTATGATGATCGTGCACGCAAAGCTGAAGCCTAGCCGGCCGGCGATCAAAAAAGTTTCATAACGTGACAGCGTGTGTCAACAGCATAAGCACAAAATGTTATTTAATATAAATTGATTGGCGTGTTTTCATCGTGTACCTTCTATAATATATATAGATATATGGATAGTAATTAACGGGTGATACTCGTAAAATATTTGTTTCAAATATTACCGTCGACGAGTCCAAATTGTAAGTTTACAACTGACTAAGACGCGCGCCGAGTTCGACTCGTCGACGACGTCGACGGTCCTAATATATATGGAACAAATATTTCACGAGTTTCACCCGTTAATAAACCTACAAATATAGTAACAGCTATCTTTGAATAAATTTTATTGTGTTCAATGTTGTAATTAGGCCGACAGTCCAGTGGCGTAACGAAGGACCCTGCTGACCCCGCTGTGCAGGGGGGCGCCGTCTTAGGGGGGCGCCAAATCGTCGTTTGAATGTGGGACAATTTCGAAAACTTAACTAAAGTACTAGCAAAACTGCGCGTTTTGCTCTAGATACACACTTTTTAGAGATTTTTACCGGCGTATCTTCTAAAATCACCTAATTTGTTCAATTTTAGGGAGGGGCACCAAAAGGGGAGGGGGCGCCAACAGGGGGGCGCCTTTTCGGCAGGGGGGCGCCAACAGGCAACGTTACGCAACTGGCCGACACCAAATGAAGTTGTTTTTTTGAGTGTAGCTTATAAAACGCCATTTCATATTTTTAATAACGTCGCTTTTATTATGCTGCTTTCAGTTTTGGATATATATATAGTCAAAGCAAACGCAACTTTTGGTACCAAAATTATAATATTTGAAGGACAACATTTTTCAAAAGTTTTTTCAAAATTTCACGAGCTGGCCAGTAAGATGGAATATCACACAGGTCAAAGATATTCAAATGCGGTTGGATATATAAAGAAGTGTCTTCGATTCGAAATCGTTAGAACAACAGTGATTTCTCTTTTGGAGACAGATAAGAGGTGCAAGGTAGACATTTTTAGATATTGGGAGTCTAAACTTAAATTTTGAGCCACAAAGCCAATTATGAATTTCTAGTGGTTCAGTCAATATTTTAAAAGTATAGGGGAATATGTATTACATTTTTGACGGTTTCATTTTATATAGGGTCATTATGATATTTTGTGTATATCGTTTTTAATTCTTTTTATGTCATGATCGACCTGTTTACATACCTTGATTTGACAGAACATGCTGTGATACAGATATGACAACTTTCCATGAACAGAACCGACAGTTCCCCTAAATGTAGCTTACTCTGGGACCCATATTTCCTAAGATAGCATAAGTCCAGGCCTTCTGGCATTTCTTTCCCTAACTCAGAAGCATACTCTTTAAGTTTTTAAGAGTCTTTTAGTTTTTATGATATTGTACTGTTAAAATTCAACTTTTCCACCTCTTTCACTCCACCCTCACACTCACACACCCACAATCATTGACACTACTATTTCATTTATAATCACCTCTTCAAACAGTATATAAACAATAAACTAAATCAAGTGATGCATTTGGCAGAGCACGATTGTAAATCCTGAACAATATCATCTTAATCTATCCCTCGTAGCTCTTCTCCTCAGGTATCAGGTTGAAGGAGAAATTGGATATAGGAGCGGTCCATGCCTTCTTTGCCTTGCCACGTACACCTCTAACTGCCACTAGCACACTCCTCATTATATCCATGCTCAGGCGTGTCCTGATGTTAAACATCACCTGGCTGTAGTCCTCCTTGTATCCCCAGCTGAAGACGATACACACAATACGTGCATGTATTTTTAAAGCTCCTTCTTATAAAACCTTTATCATTTATATGTTTTAAGAGCCCCCCCCCCCCCCCACTCCAGAGTTACATAGCGTAGAGTATTGAGTTGGACAACAGACGTGATATTGCAAACAGATATTATGAATATGTGATTCGCATTTTTCGATTGTAGCTACCTCATGTCAAACTTTTAGCCTGATGATATGAAAAATGCATCTTAATATGTTTTATTGCTAGTGTTCTTAGTTTCATTGTCATCATTTTTGAGCAAAGTGAAAAATATTGTACCCTTAATGGAAATTGGAAGAGGCCTCCTTCTTGAAAAAAATCAGTTGTACCCTCAAACACTCTTGAAGAAATAAATTCTATTGTATTTGATTATCAATAAGATCTCATGCTTGTTTCGACTTACAAAAATATAATGTACTATCCACAGGTTGTCAGTGTATATTGTAGATCAATAGAAAAACTGATGTAAATTCAAGTCGTTAACTGGATTGTCTGAATATCCCACATAGGATGTCAATCCAAACCAGGTCTAAACGGCGTAACAACCGAGATCGTGGTGGGCGATCCACTAAAATGAAACATGAGTCCTTGTTTTTCTCTGGAGCTCTCAAAAGGCTTCAAAAAAGTAAGATGAAGAAATCAAAACAAAAAGAAACTGTTAAAGCTGACGGAAATCATAATGATGATGAACCTCATGCATCCAGCTCCATTCATATTTGTCCAGATGAGAAGCACACCAAAGATGAAACAACTGTAAGGTCAAGCTTATTTGAAAAATTTAAACTTCCTAAACTGAATCCCCAGGATAACGCGGCAAAGTTTTTAACTTTTGAATACAGTTGTGATGATGAAGAGGAAACGACTCATGTTGATACAGTCTCAAAAAGTGATTTGAATTTGGGCAAGATCGATTATGACTCAAAAGCACCATCCAAGGACTTGTTTGGCAATGACCCAACCCCAGCAACCTCTGAGCAGAGCACAAGAATTTCGGTATTTGCCTCCGAGATTTTGTTGGATGTGAAGCAAAAGATAGATAGCATGTTCCCCAAAGACAGAAATTTTTGTTGTGAAAGCATTTCAGAAGTTCAAAACAGAAAGTCAAAGAAACGAAAGATATTTGATAAATTGCCCAGGTTGCCTGTTGGACACAATTTTCGAGGAGAGCTCAAGGATCTAGCATCAGATTATCTTTACTCATTCCTATCTACAATGTGTGATACAGATGACACTACAGATGAACCGGCGGAAGAAAAAAACACTTTTACTGAAGATACAAAGGTTCAAGATGTAGATGGTGAAAGTAGGTTTTGTTCTACACCAACTATAAATAATGGTGTACGGTATGACACAGAGTCTTGTTCCTTCAGTGACACTCTATTTGATGAGGGTTACCTTTCAAAGCCAGTAAATTTTCAGTCTGTGTGCCCATGGCCAACAAGCGGCAGATGCTTATTGTCAAGCCGTATAGAAAGTAAAAATGGACATATCTATGTTGTTAAAGAACAAAAGTGCCCAAAATATGAAAATCGTGACGTTTTAGCAGACATTAAAAAGAAAAAGAGAACATACATGCTTGGAAACCCTCCCAAATTTATAACTCCTATGGAATATCATAGTCGAATGATGGAACACCGCGAGTATTTGGAACGTAGGCAGTGGCAGAACATAGTGCACAGTCAAGACTATGAGAGTTACTATAATGACAAACCACCTACCAAAATACCAGAGTACATATATCACAACCAAACACGCCATGCCCTGACAACCAACTCTCAGCTCCTTGGTTACCTAGCAAGTAGAGCCAGTCTGTTTACTGATGAGACCTGGGAGAGGATAGAGAGGATGGCAGAGGAGGCAAGGTACCCTCTACATAACCTTTCTCCATTTCACATCGACCATTTCTTTTACCAATTCTTCTTTTTCTCGACAGCCTACTTAAAAGGTATGAAGCGATCTAAGAAACGTAAGAGGAGCAATCTGTACCAGTACTTTCAGCCTGAACTATATATCCTACCACAACACAAGTTGCCAAGACAACAAAACTCCATGTTCAAATACTACCCCCATGGAAGCTTGGGAAACAGCTCACAAAGTACAGGACATGCAAGTACCACTCATCAAATTCCAACTGAGAGTAGCCTCAACATCACCCCTAAGACTGAGCTAACCACAGATAGCAAGGAAGCAGTCCCGTCTCTTCCTGAGGTCCCTCGAGCTTCCACCAACTCTCCATCTAAATCTCCTGAAATGAGAACCGTTGAGAATGTGTACTGTTACAAAAGAAAAAACTCTAACATAACTTGATGATCAGAACGAAATGATTGTTTTTTACTGTTTTCCATTTCTGCTATAAGTAATCGGTCTAGCAATACTTGAAATGTGATCGTATGAGTGGAAGTTCTCTGTTATTTAGTTATTTGTTGCAGTCAATGAATATTTTTTGGTTATCATACTGTCTGTTGACAGGTAAGGACAAAATTAAATTTTTTAACTATATGTAATTTTATTATTTTTGTATTGGTTTAAGTTGAATTGTTTTTGGTTGATTGCATGACAAAAAATGTTGATACCACAATATTGTAAATGACTCTACAGTTTTCTACAAAGCGTTCAGCTTTACTACTAGGAAATAATTTTCATTGTGATTTTTATCATATTTTTATTGTCATATCTTCATTTTACAATAAATTGAATTAACTTAACATTACATAAACAATTGCAGACACTCTCGCTCTTGTCTCTTTTATTGTTTAACAAATTCATTCCCAGATTAGCTTTGGTCAAATTATATCTTAACATTAATCTCAATTTGTTAATCCTAATTGACGTTTAGTCAGTAACTTTTAACGGTTGAATACCATTATAAAGTAAGTTTTAAATGAAGTATTGGATAGAGGAATCATATTACAGGTCATGTTGACATTGAGATGCTATTGTCTCAGCTCCCCTCCTCACCATGCTCCTTCGACTCTACTGTGACCAGTCCTGATAACCTTGATGACACCTGCTCATGGGTATGACTTTAGTTTCTGTGGAAATTATTAAAATGTGGTATCTCGGAGTATTATCCTGCATTGCAATACTATTGGTATCCTTGCTTTGGAAATTATATGTTGATTGCTGAGTTGTTATTGACCTCTGATAAGCAATATTATGAATTAATGGTGTAGTCACGTGATAATTCCTATACGTGTTGCAGGACAAGGACCGGAGTAGCAAAGAATTTGGTGGGTGGGTGGTGTCTGGGCCACGTAAACGAAAGAACAGATCCAAAGAACATCTGAGTTCCGGAATATATGATGAGACTAAAACAAAGCCAGATAAAAGCAGCTCGAAACTGCAAACGAGTAATATTTACTACAAACGGTATATATCTGATCATGTACTTATTCATTGTTAGAATTATTTACTTCTATTATCCTTAAAATGCGAAATTACAGTGCAGGATTAAAATGAACTAAATTCGATAATTCAAATTTTGGCTGGTATTCACAATTGCAGGTAAAAAATATCCAATCACAATGTCCTGAAATATGAGTTTCAAGGAGTTAGTGTATATTTTGATTAATTGCTCCCCACAGATACAGGGTTGATCCCTTGGAAGGTACCTTTAAACACCACCAGAATATTGAGCAGTACATGCAGTTGTACAGGGAGACTACCACACTCTGCTTCAAACAGAAGACACTTAACGAACTTACTGCTATGTACAGTACTGCTCTCGATATCAATAGGTTACTTAAATCTTGAATTCAAATTCAATCTTTATTTGCAAGCAATAAACTATTAATTGACTGGTCACTAACCATTTCAGCCACAGATTATTAATCCTCAATTAGCGCGACATTTTATTTTGGTTTGCATGAAATTTTGTCTCAATAAGCAGACTCTCAACTTATTTTCTCTTGTTAAGCTGAGAATTGAGGGCCGGAAGGGTCCTAATATGATGGATCATGAAATTTCTCAGTATAAAGTTTTATAAAAGAAGAGAATGAGGTTGATCATACTTCATAATTCTTCTTAGAATTCCACAGAAATTTCAGAGAATATAGATATGGATAAAACTTAGATTTCCTGAAAGTTTCGTCAAATTTAATTAATTACAGTGGGTGTGGTACGCCACTCCCTCTTTTTCCCTATTGTCACCATAAAGTGAGAACGTTTTAAGCTAAGAACTTCAAAGATTCTAGACATATTTGGTTTGAACTTTGATAATTAAGGTGCTTTCCCAAAATTTCAAGTTGTTTGTTCACAATTCAACCGAGTTATGACCCTTTTAAGATATTGCAGATACGTGATCCAGCACTTAATCAGTGATATCTTCACTCAATCAATGCCCTGATTGGTTGGAGACTGCCTATAGGACAGCGACCGAAGCGCTATAACGCGAATTTCTTCGGTTTTAAGGAACGTCACAGCGTCACTATCAGTATTCACTCAAAGTGATCAGATCGTCATGACGTCATTAGGCGGTAACGAGCATGTTGGTGGATTCATCCACCAACATGCTCGTTACCGCCTAATGAGGCTCATTGTTGCTCGCTAGCGAATAGCTCCCGACGAGATTACTGATTGGGTGCCGAGATCACGTATCTGCAATATCTTAAAAAGGTTAACCAACTGTGAACAACCAACTTGAAATTTTGGGACAGCACTTCAATGGGAAAGCGAAAAAGAGGGAGTGGCGTGCCACACCCACTGTAATTAATTAAATTTGACAAAACTTTCAGGAAATCTAAGTTTGACTCATATCTATAATCTCTGAAATTTCTGTGCAATTCTAAGAAGAATCACGTGAGTTATTAAAGGGTTGCGAGTGGGCAGTTACTTCTGGGCCACCCTGTATTTCTATTCCATCAAAAAAGTATTTACTATCCCATGAAATCGCAGGATGAAGATAGTATATAATTTTTATCACACGCACGATTTTCGATTGCGTTTTCTTACAAATATTAATTTTAAAAACGTCAATGCGTATCTGTTACATTTTTTAAGACTGAACAATCTTAAACATGGCAGGCATACGTAGTATAGAGACTACTTGATACTATAATATACTGCCAGCTCTTTTAAACCTAGTTTCTTTATATTGATCAGCTGCTTTCTCATAAGTCAGCTGACTCTAGATCACCATCTAAATTAGCGCATATTTAAACAGTGATAATATGAGTCAATATTATCTGATATACACTTAATCTACGTTGTTAATTGATTAATTAACGTTGATAAGACAAGTGTAACTGCCGTGATACTGTCCGTCAAGACTGAAGCATTTTCCCGCCATTTTACACATTCTATTGTATTGTAAGAAATAGTCTCACGAGAAAAATAGGGTTAATGAATGTATCTGGTATTTTATGAATGTATCTGGTATTTTAATTCAACGAGGTTGTAATCATTTCTACTGAGTACTGATAACTGAATACATATCTTAGGGAACAGCAGCTAACTTTCCAGATATCATTGATTTCTATTGTCTCACGAGAAAAAAGTGCACGTGTCGGATTGCGATAGTTTTAAGAAATTTAAAAAATAATTATGTTAACTGTGACTACATACAGTGTATAATGTATATTGTACCAAAATATTAGAGTTAAAGGACCAGTTAACTGAAAAAAAAGTTATCCTCATATTTTGACAGATTGTGACAAATAGCAAACTAAGCAACGAGTCGAAATTCCTAAATCTCTAACTGCTCTCTAACGCGTGTAAATAGCGTTTGTATTATTTTGGCGATGACGTCATAAAGTCCCTCCCGCGCGCAGAAGAGCTCGTGAGACTGTATTTTACAGGTAGAAAATGGACATAATACAATCTTTTCCCCCAAATAACTCGAAAAGTAAGTAATTTAGGGTACATGTTGCTTCATAAGTTGTATATAAACATGGCCATTCTGCACAATTTGCACACATTCAAAAACCTTTAGGGCCTTCATAGCCCAAGTTACCAGATACCCATAGTTTTGTATGATTTCTGGAACCGAAAATCAGTTTTTCGCCAATAACTGAAAAAGTAAGCACTTTAAGGCATATGTTTGTTCGTAAGTCATATATTAATATGCTAATTGCGGTTCTTTTGCACCCTGTCTAAAGACTCTATCACGATCCTATCGAAAATGGGCTCAGCACCACGCCCAAAATGGTTTTTGGCGAATTTCTCGAAAAGTAAGGATTTTAGGCCATGTGTTGCTCAATAACCCCTATATAAACATGCATATGCGGCTTCGTTTAAGCCTATTTTGAAGCCTCTACGACCTTCAGAAGCAAGGGGTCGGTTACGTTATTGGGTCAATATGGGCGTGGCCCTCCTGGGTTTTCTCCACGATCAAAAAAATGTCTCCAAACGAAAATCGTTTATTCATACCTTCAGGAAGGTCTGTGCAAAGTTTCGTGAGTATTTGAACATTTGCAGGTTCATTTCCATAAATGTCCATAAATGACTGGAGTACACAACTTAAGAGTTAACTTTAGAGAAACTCATAAGTCATTTATCTCAAATTAAGCTGTTAGTGTCCATGATCAACCTGTGGCGACAATGTTTTACGTGAAATGTAAAAATCAGGAGTAATATTAAAAGTGTATTTTTAGATTAAAGTGCTAGCTCATAGTTTTAGAATTGTATAGATTATAACGTTGGTCGTTTAGCCATCTAACAATCGATCGTGCCGTAATATATGGCCAGAGAATAATAGGGTCTTGGAAATTCTATAATTGTTCAGTGGGTCGATTGACTGAACACGTTTGCACTTGGTATTTAAACTTACCAGTAGTTTATTTATGTTATGCTATGTACCGATGATAATGCAATTAGGATAACAACTAGGTAAGCCGTAAGTCTAATTCAAAACACACCGCACACCATACACTCCGAACAGTATAATTACTATTTGGTAGACCGGGTATTTTGGCGGGAATTCTGTTCCCATGGCACTGTTCTGATAGAAGCTACTTCTACTAATGGTCCCAGAGGAACGGCCGTAAAGTAGCCAGACTTCTTGTCTCCTATACTGGCTGACACATGCCATGCGGACTAAAGTTAGAAATTTCGCTATGCTATAAATATATAATTGCTCTCGGAATTGAACAAACTCCTACTTATCTAGATCCTTTCTAAATTCGTTAGAGTTTCATGGACTGGGGAAAAATAATCGGTACAGTCTCCCTGCTTGTGTAAATAGCAATGAAAACAATCCAAAATTATCACATATGACATATAAGTTGTAATAGCAGAAACTTTCTAACCGTACATTCACCCGCCACTGTTCAAGAACCTATATCGCTGTTTAAAATCATGACGTGAGCACTGTACATCCAATCAGCTATTCCTTTAGTTAGGATGATAGCCAAAACTATAAGGATTTTGGAGAACTAGGGAAATAGTCATAATTCTAAAATTTGAGTGAGTTACAGGTGTTTTATTGACAACGATAAACATTTGCAACGTATTACGCTATGCCAGCGCGCACTGAGGGACTTTATGACGTCACGAGGCCACAGCTTATTATTGCAATAACACGCGTTACACGTACGATAGAGAGTTGGTTCTTTCGGCGATACGATTCTTTACCAGTTTGTCACAGCTGATTTAAATCTTAGCCAAATTGGAGACTACAAATTTTTCAGTTAACTGGTCCTTTAAGTTAAATTTGACCGGACTATTAAAACATGATATGACATGTAGCCTATTGATAGGCGACTGTAACTGATAACGATCTTTACTGACTAACGACTTATAATGCATCAGTTCTCTATAATACGAGAAATTTGAAATTCCCATTATTCATGCATCACACCATTAGATACGAAATAATGAGGTATATTAAGAACATACTTGTAAGCATTACTCGTTTGTTTATACGGCCTACTTTTAAATTAACATGTATTGTAACGAGAGAAACACTTAGTAATACATGACGTGAGAGAGTCACTCGATAATTCTATATGGAAGTATATATTGAAAGTATTTACTGAATTTGTAACCCTGGCAACCGGTTATGTGGAGAGTCTCACATTATATTAGTAGAGTGTGAAGATGGAGCCCAGTATTCTGGAAGTTGGCCTGAATTCTGATTTGTAATCAATTCAACAGCGCTGTGTGAAGTGAGTCAGCTCGCTAAACACTTGATCACATGACTTCTAGTACACCTGTTGTTGATTTTCCAGAATTTAACACTTCTAGTAACACTTCTTTATAAAACTATTTAACACTTCTGACTGCTGTTAAACTGTGTTAAATAACGTTTTAGCAGACGGATGGAGAGGAAGCATTCAAAGAAAAGCCTAAAAGACACAGCAGCCCGGGTACACAATATTCCGACCATTATGGACACGGTACAGATGCCTAAAATAGAGTTTGTGGACGTTACAGACATATTCAACAAGAATAGGTTTAGACTCTGTGGTGTAGTGAATGTGAACATGAAAGCAATGTTTGGTGGTATAACTTCAAGCAATCAAGCAGTTCAATCAAGCAATTCATCTCATATAATGTGAACCAAAGTGGCGGTTATATAACCGCTATTGTTAAAGCAAACAGAGTAAAATACCAGGCAGTGTGTGTTTACTGGTAAAATACAGTGACCATGGTTTAATTGTACTGAATGTGGTCAAATCTTACTAAGCATCTTTAAAGATTTCTGGAGCGTGTGTAGTCTTCTAAACTCACTTCTAAAAAACACTGATCAGCATCACACGTATTAGCTTTATAGGTCTTACTATTCTTCATTATATTTACTACTGCAGTCTCTCTCTCTCTCTCTCTCTCTCTCTCTCTCTCTCTCTCTCTCTCTCTCTCTCTCTCTCTCTCTCTCTCTCTCTCTCTCTCTCTCTCTCTCTCTCTCTCTCTCTCTCTCTCTCTCTCTCTCTCTCTCTCTCTCTCTCTCTCTCTCTCTCTCTCTCTCTCTCTCTCTCTCTCTCTCTCTCTCTCTCTCTCCTCTCTCTCTCTCTCTCTCTCTCTCTCTCTCTCTCTCTCTCTCTCTCTCTCTCTCTCTCTCTCTCTCCTCTCTCTCTCTCTCTCTCTCTCTCTCTCTCTCTCTCTCTCTCTCTCTCTCTCTCTCTCTCTCTCTCTCTCTCTCTCTCTCTCTCTCTCTCTCTCTCTCTCTCTCTCTCTCTCTCTCTCTCTCTCTCTCTCTCTCTCTCTCTCTCTCTCTCTCTCTCTCTCTCTCTCTCTCTCTCTCTCTCTCTCTCTCTCTCTCTCTCTCTCTCTCTCTCTCTCTCTCTCTCTCTCTCTCTCTCTCTCTCTCTCTCTCTCTCTCTCTCTCTCTCTCTCTCTCTCTCTCTCTCTCTCTCTCTCTCTCTCTCTCTCTCTCTCTCTCTCTCTCTCTCTCTCTCTCTCTCTCTCTCTCTCTCTCTCTCTCTCTCTCTCTCTCTCTCTCTCTCTCTCTCTCTCTCTCTCTCTCTCTCTCTCTCTCTCTCTCTCTCTCTCTCTCTCTCTCTCTCTCTCTCTCTCTCTCTCTCTCTCTCTCTCTCTCTCTCTCTCTCTCTCTCTCTCTCTCTCTCTCTCTCTCTCTCTCTCTCTCTCTCTCTCTCTCTCTCTCTCTCTCTCTCTCTCTCTCTAGCCCAGACTGTAAGGACCTGTCAGTTAAAAGCAATCTCAGTTTCATTCAAATAACACCCTGTACTCTTTACATCTACAAGACAGTGATATCTGAATAAGGGGGTAGTTGGAAGTACTGCATTGATTAAATATCTTACTCTTGCTCAACTCAGGGATATGATAGAGATATATATAAGCATTACTAAGTAACACCATAGTAACACCTTAGTAACACCTTAGTAACACCTAAGCATTACTAAGTAACACCTTAGTTGTGTTCGTAAACAGTTACTACTAACAGTATACTCTATTAAGCCTTTTTGAGTCTCCTCTTAAAACCTCGCATTCAATACCTCTATATCATGACATCTTTGTTAGTTTGTTGACGAATTGTGCCTTATTGTCCACGTAATATGCCACAAAATCCTTTACAACTCAAATTGAACTTTCTAACTTCTACAAAGCTTTCACTTTCATAAATGGTGTGGTTTCACTTTCACTTTCACTTACACACATTCATAAAAATGTCCAAATTTCTTAATCAGGCGGACGAAAGATTATAAAGAGCTTAATGACAAGTGAGTGAATTAAAGACGTGAATAATAAATGTGACTACATACTGCTAGTACTCTAACCTTACTGCTTGATAGTCAGTAGCAATAATCTGACGTGCTACTGTACTAATACATCCACATTTCACACCACATACTACTAGTACTCTAACCTTGCTGCTTGATAATCATTAGTCAGTAGCAATAATCTACTGTGCTACTATGCTAATACATTATAACTACCTCCAGTAATTTCTCAGTTATCAGTTCTTATTTCATATCATGCAAACTTGAGATTTGTGCCTTAACATAATGTTCTTCATTCACAACAGCAATATTTGTTGACTTTTTTATGTTGCTTGACCTTCCTTTTTTGGGAAGCAGTATTCTCGTATAATATAGCAGATAACTATTCTTAAAACACTATAAATTGTTATCTAAGTACGTATTGTTGAACTTACAGTGGTCGTGAAAAAGGTAACAAATATCAGCTAGTGAGCAACTATTTTCTGGGTATTCAGACTTTCAGAATAACTACTAGAGTTCATGTCGTGTGATGATAATTCCGATATTTATTGAGTATAATTTCTTAAATCAGTGTATACTGTATAATACAATGGTCTTGTATCTGTTGTTTCAGTCAAATATTTGATAATTTGAAAAAAAAAAAACTCGCAATATCACTCAATAAGACAATTTGACTGTCAGTATTTACATAAATGGTTTCATGGAATATTAAAAACTAGCACCATGGTCTTGAATCCTGCATGTTTTGTGTTATTAGTACAGCCACGCCGCAAGTCCTCAAAATGTTTTGATAACGGTTATACTCGTTACCTAATCTTTAAAATATAACCATTTCAGCGATAAAGGACACACAATCAACGGTTACACGTACAATCTCGACCCTGATGTAGTGAGGTCAGCATTACCTTACTTTCACTTTCACTTGAATGCTAAGATCACTTTCACTTAGCTAATGTTCAATATCATATGTGCACTAAGTGCTGCCTCTCACGAATCCAATGTCAAAGTCCCATACAAAATGTGGACCGTATTTTTAGTATCACGTCTGTCAAAAGATATAAGTTGTTTATCTGAGAGTTCAGCTATATGAGCGGTTAATTTCACCTCCTCTGTATACATCGAGAGAGGCTAAATGTTGCTATGTGGGGGGTTAACAAGATACATATTTAATGTAATGATAATATTATACACGTTTGGTAGATATTATCATATTTTATCAGTCTGCAGTCAGGTGTGTCTTCTTGTTAAATCGCCTGCATGATTAGTGATTATAATAATATAACATATCAACATTGTAAAGATCTGGCTGGAGAAATTAGGTGAACATCTAAGGAGGGCGAGGGGAGCTGGAGGGGGGGGGGGGGTAGAGGGGGGAGCTGGTCATTGGTCGTTGCGGCTTATCAATCAATCGAGAAATTTTTGGTAAACACCGTATAGTAATCCGTATCAGAAATGTCTAAATGATTATAATGGTTCTGACGACTGACGGTCCATCCGGCATCCCCCCCCCCCCCATTCCTTAACTCCCATTCCATTGCATATCTTAAACATACCTGAAAATATCTCAATGACGTAAAATGTAATCTGATATGTGTAATAATGTAATTGAGAGAATACAGCAGCTGCTATTTGAGCGGACATTTGAGGTCATGAACAATAATCTTATAATTAACTTACAGCCGATTAAACAATTGAGCCTAACTGTAGCAATGTCATTAAGATCATAACATGATTTAAATAAAATTATTGAGGAGAGTAAAGATTATGGCTATATAAGAAATTTGCAGAATGTATCTTGTATCGTCGGAGTTTTATTTAAAAAGAACAGATAAGTTAGCAAGCAGGAATACGGCAGTACATAAATACCAACTGATAACATGTAAAACTTGATAGTTACAATCCAGTCTAGCAACTTAAGTTGTAACTCCAGTAGTCACGCAGACTCACAAGCTTACAAAAACTCTTTTATATTTTAGTATATGGATATGCAACGTTATCATCTTATCATTCGTTATCATCTTATCATACGGCAAATCAACGTTTAAATTGTTAAAACTCAGCTAAGTGTCAAGTGTATTCCTTAAAGAGAAACCGTTTTTTAAGTAAGCGATGACTAATAAATGAGCAGCATAACACAGAAATAATGAGACTACTTATTTTCAGTAAATGGGACGGGACCTGTCATATGGAGGAGTATATCAGCCACCCCCTCACTATACCACCCATTACATCTCGTTCAGAGGGAGGTGTACCACTAATGTTACTTCCTACTGCTCCTTCTATACCACACAGAATACAGCATAACACCCATACCAACCAGGTAGCCATACCAACCAGGTAGCCATACCAACCAGGTAGACATACCAACCAGGTAGACATACCAACCAGGTAGACATACCAACCAGGTAGCCATACCAACCAGGTAGCCATACCAACCAGGTAGACATACCAACCAGGTAGCCATACCAACCAGGTAGCCATACCAACCAAGTAGCCATACCAACCAGGTAGCCATACCAACCAGGTAGCCATACCAACCAGGTAGCCATACCAACCAGGTTGGGGTTGGGGTTGGGGTTGGGGTTGGGGTTGGGGTTGGGGTTGGGGTTGGGGTTGGGGTTGGGGTTGGGGTTGGGGTTGGGGTTGGGGCTGGGGTTGGGGTTGGGGTTGGGGTCGGGGTCGGGGTCGGGGTCGGGGTCGGGGTCGGGGTCGGGGTCGGGGTCGGGGTCGGGGTCGGGGTCGGGGGTCGGGGTCGGGGTCGGGGTCGGAATCGGGGTCAGGGTCGGGGGTACTTATTCCGTATTTTTTGGCCGCCCACTAGTCCCGCTTTTTCACGTCACCACGCCAACGAGTCCTGTTTTTCAGTCGATCGCGCATAATAGACCAGTTTACAGGCTATTTTGGGAAAAACAGAAATTTGGATCTTGTTTCCATTGAGAGGAATGATTTAAGTCCTCATAGTTGTAGGGCGCGTTGAAAAGTTCATGTATAAGTGCATAAGTTTACAAAGCTAGCGTAACATTTCCACGCCGCGCGGCGTGCGAAAATGCTCCTCTTATAATAATGGCGCCGTTCTGCAATCTGCATGAAATGGTCTATCATTTACATCGCTGTTTAGATCGCCCACTACACCCTTGACGGCTGACCCCACATAACAATTACCGTTCGATTGTGTCTTATCTAAATTAAGTTGGGCCCATCAGCCATCTCAATAAGTAAAATGCCCAATCAGCCACTAAATTTTTCAGCAGATGAGTTCCCAAAGCCCGATAGCTCAAGCATCGTTCATGTGCAACGCTTACATGAACAAAAACGTAGTCTGTCCTGTTCACAGGTGATAATATCTTCATTGGTTAAATCAATTTTAAGCGTTAAACATAGTAACCCCACAGTTACACTGTGTTAATAAAGAACGTTAATTTATCATTACTGTTACCTAACCTTAGAATATCATAAGTAATCTATGAAATTTAACATAAACACTTATTTTAAATGAGAAAAAACCCAGATGTTGTCACATCCATTTCAAAACCATGTCATAACCATATCACGACTCAAAAGTGGTCACTAGCTGGTCAATATGATACTACTCACGGAGAAATGAGAAACCCCAAGCAGTTGCACATATAAGCACAAAACTAAAGCTGATAAATCTACACCTTTACGGCCTTTTCTTTTTTAGGTCTTCAAAGTGTTCCATTTTAGTCTTTTGAAGAAACGGTTAAGTTAATTGTTAAGCGCCCACTCTCATTTGTGTCGCAAAAATGCACTAACACTGTTAAAGCAATACATATTCTGGAAAAATTTTATACTTTGATCGATTAAAAACACCTACAAGTATTATATATTATATTATATGACAACGCTTGGAAGTTTAGCGAGTTAATCATTGATCAGTCATCCATGCATACATTTATTAATCTGACATTTAAAAATATTAAAACAGGCTGATACATAGAAAAAGCAGTCTACTGATAAATAACGGTCGAGTAAGATCCCAGATGGAGTTGAGCAGCAGTCCAGACGAACATATTAAAGTAACACTACCAGGCATTCCTAAACGAAGGTTAATAGATGTGGATACTGGCGGGGAGGTGAAACACATTTGTTTACTTTAATAGTGAGCACCATGTTCGGCGGGTTCAGGAGGTGAAACACATTTGTTTACATTTTAGGGTAAGCACATGTTCGGCGGGTTGAAGAGAGTGATACACATTTTGTATTATATAAGGCTTGTAACACTTGTAACGCTTTCTTGTTACCCCCTTTGAAGGCCCCCGAATTATTTTCTGAACGAAAGCTCAAAAATAACCGAGAAATCGACCTCTTTATTAACTCATTTTGATGACTGTTTCTGACCTAAAATTGCACGAAAAATCGATTTAGCCTAGGTATTCAGAACCTATAAAACACTTCCTTTATCCCTCAAATTGATGTTTTATCTTTTTTTATCGTTGATACGAGCAACAAGCAAACATAAGTTCTTGATCCTTCGGTCTCTACTCATGACCCTAGGCAGTTAAGCTGAACCCGACAGATCGAGGCAATCCTCACCTTAATACTGATCAAACTGGTACTAACACACTTTTCAGATATAAATGTTCATGGCGATAGTTTATTGCCAGCTTCGCAACTTGAGTGAAGACCAGAGTACGAAAACACCACAGCAGGTAAGCAGCTCACTTTTGGTGACTGTAACTCACGAACCATTCAGATCTTGCCAACATATGAACAAGGAGATCGTCCTCCTTAACAAATCGAAACAGGTACTATCACAATTTCCAGAGCACAGATGATAACAAAGTTCAAAACGAAACACAATGAAGGTAGGTTACGAACACCCACAATAAAACAATCATACTAACAACTGAATTAAGTTTATTCTCGACGACGGGAGCCCTGCTGTCGCTCCGTGATCCTCAACGAGCGACCACTTGTAATAGAGGTGTTTTGTCACGTGACACGATCCGTCCAATCACAAAAAGGAAGACCCGTGAGCCAGATCGATATCGAGTGTTTACTTTCCCTTATCTCTTATTTGACCCTCTGTTCACATTGTTATCTCTACCACATCTTGGCTGGGCAAGGTCCCGCGTGCACTACTCTGCACCGCGGTAAACACGCAATGATTACGTCATGAACTTGAAATAGTGTGATTGTTGTACGGGGGGGGGGGGGGGGGGGGGGGGTGGGGGGGGGGGGGGGGGGGCAAAGACTACTTTCTGGGGACTTGGGGAATTACGTCAACGAATTTTACCCGAGTCCCCCCATGATTCTTTAGTCCCCATTAGTCCCCAAAAGTCTCCATTAGTCCCCATTTAGATTTCACAAAATCCTGGCTTCTCCAGACCAGATCGTAAACTTCTCAAGACTGAAGTCTAGAATATTTATAAAAGGTCCATCGGACATCTCCTTGACTTCTTGGGAGCTACTTTAGGGCTGTTAGAGCTACCTCAGGTAAATTAAGGGAGGGGCGGGGGCGACTACCAATGACAACATTGAGGAGACATCTTGCATATATACGCTTATTTTATCCAGATTGATCTAGTAGCATCGCCTGCAAGGAGGAGTAACTGTAAGATTCTAATCGCATCATCATTTCTCCCCGATAATGTCCATGATGATGGGTCCAAAAGATGGGGGGGGGGGGGGGGGGGGGGGGGGGGGGGGGGGGAGGGCGATCCAACTACAAAACAAACGAACGCACCACTAAAATTTTGAAATTCGTATTCGTATTTTTTGTAGTTGACCCCCCCCCCCCCCCCCCCAAAAGCTTTAAGAGTTCAGCCGAGTCGGCTAACTTCTCCCTTCCCGAGAGCTAAACATTCAATTTACCTCAATCTGAGAACTGACTTGTACAGTGGTAGAACACACACATTACAACCGGGGCTTATTCATTTTTACTTTTAAGTCCGATTATATCTATCTTATCTGACAAACATCTCGATCGTTATCGTTAATAAACTAACTGAAAACCATAATAAATGTCAAAATTCTGGGGACTATGGGGACAATGGTGAATTACCGTTCAACGAGTTGACCTCTAGTCCCCTATGATTTTTTACTGTCCCATTTCGTCCCCAAAAGTCTCATGGTCGTCATTGGCCCCCCCCCCCCCCCCCCCCCTGTTTTACTTATCTAACCGTGCCTATTGCCCCCAGTACAATACGAACTGTTGGGGGGGGGGGGGGGGGGGAGGGGTTTAAGATAAACAACCGATCTTGATAGTGTGTTGGTCGCTCCTCCAACTGACTGTGATGCTAACCGTTCAATCATGAACGGAACATTAAACATCAGGGCTGCCCGTCGTCAGAATAAATTTAATTCAGTTGTTAGTATGATTGTTATATTGTGGTGTTCGTAACCTACCTTCATTGTGTTTCTTTTGACTTTGTTATCATGATGTGCTCTGGAAATTGTGATAGTACCTGTTCGATTTGTTAAGGAGACGATCTCCTTGTTCATATGTTGCAAGATCAGAATGTTCGTGAGGTTACAGTCACCAAAAGTGAGCTGCTTACCTGCTGTGTGTTTTCGTACTCTGGTCTTCACTCAAGTTGCGAAGCTGCAATAAACGTATCGCCATGAACATTTATATCTGAAAAGTGTGTTAGTACCAGTTTGATCAGTATTAAGGTGAGGATTGCCTCGATCTGTCGGGTTCAGCTTAACTGCCTAGGTCATGAGTAGAACCGAAGGATCAAAACATATGTTGCTTGTTGCTCGTATCAACTATAAAAAGATAAAACATCAATTTTGAGGGATAAGGAAGTGTTTATAGGTTCTGAAACCTAGCTAAATCGATTTTTCGTGCAATTTTAGGTCAGAAACAGTCATCAAAATGAGTTAATAAGAAGGTCGATTTCTCGGTTATTTTTGAGCTTTCGTTCAGAAAATAATTCGGGGCCTTCAAAGGGGGGTAACAAGAAAGCGTTACAAGTGTTACAAGCCTTCTATAATACAAAATGTGTATCACCTCTTCAACCCGCCGAACATGTGCTTACTATAGTAAACAAATGTGTTTCACCTCCCCGCCAGTATCCACATCTATAGAGCCGCTCTATCAACCGTTCTAGGCGTCATTCACATTATGTAAACATATATAATATGCATTAGCTGCAAACTCGATAGTTCTCGTATAATATCATATCTTAACTTCTTGTATTGCCTCATCTAGCCCTGAAAATGTATTGTTTACTGATTACTTTTTAGTTTTATTTTGCTAGATGGGCAGGAGAGGGTGGTGATATGATTTGATAGCACAGCATAGCTATGTTGCAGTATTTAATATACAGGGTGAGTTGAAAATAGTGTGTGGAAAGTAAGTGGCTCTAATTTTTTTGACAAATGAAATTTCCACTTAATTTTTGCATATTTAGGTAATGAAAATATATACTTTTTATAATAATACAATTAAAATACTTAATAATTAATAATTTGCTCAACCCATCGTCCTTTATTAGCTAGGACATATTGATAACATGTAAGACAATTGTCTATAGCCGACTTGACTGTATTATGGGGGCAGGGGGGTCTTCATGGTAATTTTCTCAAAATCGACTTTTTAGTTAGTTGTTTCTGATAGAGGGGAGTAATATCTATCAGATGCTTTTGATGCCGTGGAAAAATATCGTTCCTAGCCGAAATTATTGCCGGTCAAAGGTCAGCGCGTGTGTGGTAATTGTATTGCGCGAGCGATTTTTGATCGCGTGCCCTGAAAATCGAGTCTAAAAATCTATTTTCTCCTACATTTTTTGAGCAATCACCCTGAAACTTTTAGTATATGTTTTAAGGATCATTTAGAAGAGATGAGCCTGACAGAATTTTGAGATAGGCCTTTAAAAAATTTTTATTCGATTTTGAAAATCTTGGACCTCGTTTTTTGATGATTTTTTGAGGTCGACGATTTTCAAAATCGAATAAAATTTTTTAAAAGGCCTATCTCAAAATTTTGTCTGGCTCATCTCTTTTAAATGATCCCTAGAACATATCCTGAAAGTTTCAGGGTGATTGCTTTAAAAATGTAGGAGAATATAGATTTTTAGACTCGATTTTCAGGGCACACGATTTGAGAACCCCATTAGGACGAATTTAAGATTTTTTGGAAAACTGCCAAAAATCAACCAAATTATGAGTTAGAATCAAATGAGAGGCAAGAATGAAATATGTAAAGTTTATGAACTGATAGCAATTCACCTTTCAAAATTTGCTCCTTCATAAAAAAAATTATCGATTTTTACTTTCCACACACTATTTTCAACTCACCCTGTATGTTACAGATTAGCATGTACAGCTGAATATACTCTATCCGTGCTCATACAACTACATGTAATTGTAGGCTTGTTACATGTAAAGCATGTTTTATGTGTTCCAGGTACAATAGTCAGGTAAAACGACTGAAAGCTCTCAGAGAATCCCATCCAATCATAGGGCTTCAAGAAAGCAGGTAATCTTTTTGTTTGCACCTCTCCTCTTTATCTTATCTAACCAGGTTTTTCTTTCTTTCATTTGATGAAGCTTATATATTGCATAGTGCATGCTGTTGTGGCAAATTGCTAACGCCTGATAAACTGAATTTCAAATAACTGTCATTAATCTGTACTCTAGCAAGCATGCTATACACAGTGTTTATAGCTGAGTAATACAATATCTGGAGCCTTGTAATTATTTCAGTTCACAGCCTCCAAACACTCCTGAGGGTTCCACACCTCAGCTCTCCTCACCTTCTGTAAGAGACGAGGGAGAAGAGGAGGCAGACGAGAGGATAAACCAGCTCCTCAACACTGCGAGGAGTCCTTCTAAGTAAGTCAACATTATATCGTAGTCAGTGTCCACCAACTCATGGTAACACTAACAAAGGCTCGTTTGCTTGTCTTATTAAAAGCAGCAGACATTTGTTGGATACCTGGACATAGTCGACACTCGACAGTCACTAGTGCGCTTACGATGATTAAACAAACACCCTTCAGTCATTAGGGGGGATGCAACGTCAATTAATGTCAGTAGGTATTCCATAATTGACATTAATTGACATTAATTGACATTAATTGACATTAATTGACATTAATTGACATTAATTGACATTAATTGATATTAATTGACATTAATTGACATTAATTTGTCTTGAAATTTGAGATTATCATTATTCGATAAATATTCAAGATATTCACGTCTATGTAAGTTAGACCGGTTCAAAAAAACAAAATGTCCTTGAATAATTATGAGTATGTTCTTATCTGTTGATCCTTAGGTTCAAAGACCACCAAAAAAAATTTCAGCTTCAAACTCTTCCATCTTCGGTCCCCACCGGCCACGCCCATATTTTATTGGTTTCTTATACAGGTAAAATATCTAGAATCGGCTTTTTTAGTATGAAGGAGTAATGCTAGCTGTTTAAGATTCGTTATTCAAATATAAATGTCATGAAGGCATTTCGTTTAATGTGGGTTTTAAGTTCTGATGATGTTGAGAACCACGCCCTTGGATGGCTACGCCCATTTAAGAAAATTAAATTTCGGAAAACCGTATCTTACTATATATAAAGCGAGACGATATATATATATATATCTGTGCCATTTTACTGACACCACGGCATCGACTTTAACGCAACTTTCTGCAAAAACCGTAAAAGATATACAACTGAAACTTTTTTGGCTGGGTCAAATGCTTTAATATCCTCCAAATCAGCATGAAAAAATTAAAAATTGGCCGAGGAATAATGATTTTAGAGCCGAAAATTTGGACCCCCAAGTGGTGTCAAAAACGCCAATTAAATAGGTAATAATTATTTCAGTATCTTGAGTCTTGACACCGTTTAGGGTTATATTTCACGGGTTCCTGCTAGTTATTATAAACGTTCTAAAGTGCTAAAAATATGGTAGAACTACATAATCTCTGGTCGAAAAATATCGTGTCAATTAATGTCAGTATTCCAAAATTTTGCAAAACTGACATTGACATTAATTGACATTAATTGACATTAATTGACATTAATTGACATTAATTGACATTAATTGACATTAATTGACATTAATTGACATTAATTGACATTAATTGACATTAATTGACATTAATTGACATTAATTGACATTAATTGACATTAATTGACATTAATTGACATTAATTGACATTAATTGACATTAATTGACATTAATTGACGTTGCATCCCCCCAGTCATTATGTTCTGTTTCAGTCCCTGTGATCGGATAAGTAAAGTGTTACAGCAGCAACAGCAGCAGCTGAGACGTCCGGTGCCCTCTATGCAGCTACCTGTAACTGCATTGTTACAGTACAACCCTGATTCTAACAGCATCTCTAAGTCTAGGTTACTACCTTAATTTTGGTATTTTATAGCCTGTAGTATTTTTGTAAAACTTCAGTTCGATATAACCAAAAAAGTATGGCACGTGCACATGACCTAACTGTTGAGGGGGTTGTGATCCCAAAACGCTCAGATGATAATTTATACTTTTTACAACAGCTTGGAAACCATTCTCCAAATACTGGGTTATCGGATAGGGATTGAATTGAAAAAGCTTAAACTCCTTATATATATCCTTATTAGCTAACGGTATAATTTCAGACATGTAAAAAAGCCCTTGGTTTTAAGAAGCCACTCTAGAGCTCTTCAATCGAAGAAGAAATCCAAAGATACGCCCAAACCGAAACCTGACGTGAAACAGGTAACTTTTAAACTTTACTTCAGTTCAATTATTCATGCTACTACATGGAGAGTTATGATATTATACAGTTATAGAGTTATGCTAATATATTATATTATGGAGAATGGATACTGGATAGTACCTGGATCATGCAATAGTGATATTAACTATAGGTGTATGCAGTAATAAATAGTATTAATAGTGAACTTATTGAATAGTTTACTTAATTTATTTTGCTGTAGGTGGCCGCTATGCCGTTGGAATGTCAGAGATTCCACATGCCGTCCATATCCCGGCTTTGTGTATCTGTGCCCCCAGCACATTGGGTCAATTACGATGGGTTAGTCGCGTGCCCGCTTTAAAAAGTTCATGTAGTGAAGCACGTGCATAACCATGTTGGCCGTTGGGGGTTGTTCACATATTACGTAATCAGCCAAGGGGGGGGGGGGGGGGGGGGGGTTCGAAATGTTTACGGTTGATAACGGATGGGGAGGGGGTAACAATTGCTAAAATATTGATTACGTAATATGTGAACGACCCCTTGTGGGATTGGTAGTGCAGCAGCAGTAGCGCGCATAGCTTGCAAATGTTCAAACTTCGTCTGAATCTAACGTTAATCCTGGAGGTATGGAAATCATTGGTTTTGTGGGCACCGCGATACCCTCCGCCAAATAATCGAGAAAGCGTGTTTGAGGGTTAATAAATAAATAATATAAATGAGGAGCTATAACATTGTAGCGTATCCGTGGGCGGAGAAATCTTTAACGCACTATCTTTACCGTCTCTATCCTTGCAAGCTAAATACTTGAATAAGAAATAAAGCTGTGTGTATTTGTGACCCCCTCCCCCCCCCGCATGTTTTCCTGTTTTAGCTATAAAGCAAGTGTGTTGGTAATCATGGGGCGACAATGCACTTGTATACTTGTTCAAATTAATCCAAATACTTCAACTCAATATAAAGCTTACGACCACAGATAGGGATTCGGACTTGTCGGCGTGAGACTCGGAGTTTGGGTTTTTTTTAGGGTTGAGGTTTGGACTTTGGCTACGAGATTATTTTCTCTGAAACCCAACCCTAATTATTTGCGCCGACAAATCCCACGCCGACGAGTCCAGGACCCGCACAGCCCTTCCTAAATATTCAGTACGAATGTGACATCACGATTGTTTATATCGTCGTGCTTTTTTTAAAGGGCGAATGTTTAAAAAAGTTTCGAGATAATGGCCCCTAATATAAAGGTTACATTGGGCCTTTTATGTAACCAATTTTTTGAAATGTTTTAGGGCGAATGTGTGACTTTGTATTTATAACATATTCAATAACATTCGGCTTTTTTGAAATCTCGAAAATAACATTCGCCCTTTGAAAATTTAAAAATCTAAACTTAGCACGATAGAGCTTCAAACTTTTCGGGATGTTAATAGACCTCTATAAGACTTGTTATTTAAGCCACAGTGAAATTTGACATTCGCCCTTTTAAAAAAACCACGACGATATAGTTCCTGGTTTTCTAACCGCACCAAGGTGTCTCATGACTCATTCTAAGAAGCAAGCATCCCGGGCAATGTATTTTAAGAGACGGTGATGGAACTCAGTAATGGCAACTGTTGCCAGCTCTGTTAACTAATGGATACTAATGCTTGTTGAGTGAGTTCTCAGCTTGCTCTGAACAGCATCTCAAGTCATCCCATTCGTGTTAGCAACTCAAATGTTTCAATCTCGTGACAAATTAATGAGTGCTGGAGGGAATATCGATTTAGTGTTCACGTGACACGTAGAAAAGAACTCTGAGAGTAATTATCGTTTCATTATTGCTAAGTAATACTGATACAAAGTTCTAACTGCAATCTTGTTTCGTTAAAGATTGGAGATGAGCTTTTTAATTCTTCTCCTGTTGGTGCACGAAGCCAGCTCTCAGATGATTAAAGGTAACTGATTTAACAATCTACATTTTACCAAGAACACTAAGATTGTTAGCTCTGAATTGGTCAGTGTGCACGCTGTGGCTGGTACAACACGACCTGTTTGTTTTCACAATCTCACCTTACATTTACAATTTGTTAGAATTTATTAATTGTATTTCGGGCCCATTTAAATGCGGGCGCAGTTTGTCAGCCCGTCAAATATTACATTTATGGGCAATTTGAACTATTAATACATTTAATAATATGTGATCAGTTAATATTTCAGGGGAGCAGCTTGAGTCGGTCTACACGTTCATCAGTACTGATATTGAAGGAGTGCCCAGTGATATTGGGAGAGGAGAACTGACATCTGATGGTGATCTGGAAACTGTTACTTACGTTGCGGCTGCGAGCAATTTGCAGAGCAAACAGTGGATATCTTACATATTACCTGCTCCTTCATCTGTACAATCTGTAATGGTTTACATACCTCATCGGAGTATCATCCTCAGTGAAAAGGAGGAAGAAGAGGAGGCTAACAAGGATATTGAGGTGACGATAAGAACACTGATTCCTACAACTGAAGTAGAAGAATACGCTGTACAAACAGAAGCTTCTACTACGTACCCTGTACCACCACCAATTGTACCACACTTCTTACCAATCACCGACCCTCAGGGGAATCAGAATTTGTTAATAATATTTAAAGAAGATATTGAGACCCTCTATAACGTGACGTGGGAAGCCATGGAGACATCCTGTGAACTAGTGAGATCCCAAGAATACACTATTGACGGGCAGGTGTTCAGTGACCAAACTGAGGTTGGTGATACGGACCATACAGCTAGTGAGGGAACCATACTTGAGTTTGATTGTGGGTCGGTAGAGGGTGGCTCGGTGTTCATCAAGACAGACCAAGATGTCTTGGAGGTTGCCGAAACTAAAATGATTGGAGTCTCTGGAACGAGCAGTCCTCTTGTACATGTAGAACCGCTTGATTCTCACGGCTTGGAAGGTAAACACACATATCGCGTGGCGCTTCAAAACGGAGTTGCTAAAAACATCCTTATACTGAAAGAGAATGGTAAGTATATTGGTGAGACAAAGCCTTCATACAACTTCATATTGAACACGGATATACCCGTTAGAGGAGGAAGCAGTATCTTTATGTTGCGTCGTGATTCTGGGCTCAAGATAATGGACTGTCTAAACAAAGAGTCAGAAGTAATTGGAGGATGGTGGCCTTTCTCCGGTACAGAGGGGGTTTGTGATGGCACTAAATCTGAAGATCAGTTCAACACGTGGGCGTTCCACTTCGCATTAGACCACGTGTCAGTGTACTGTGATGGTGTCAAGTTTCTCTCACTTAACGTCAACTTCTACTGTAATCCCGCAGTCAGGACTATACAGACACTCTATTCCGTGATAAGGACGAGTAACAGTGTGGATTTTGTGCCAATGCCAGGTCTTCTCGGACTGGATGTGTATCATTTGGGGGAGTATGGAGTCACTAAATTCGAGGCAGATCAACAGTTCAGGAGTTATTGCAATCAAATTGAGAAGGACATTATGGAAGTATGCACGGCGGAATATGACATGTTTGGAGCAGAGGGGGTTGTCTCGCCTGAATTCCAGTTTCTGTACGATCATATCATGAAGGAATTCAAAACTTCCATAGCGTATACAGCACTGTTCAGTCAAATTGAGAGGGACGAAAGGATAAAGCGAGAAGAACAGTGGATGAAGGACAGCTATCCGGAGTACCTGGAGTCAATGTTCGAGAAGACGCGGGGACAGAAGGAGAACTTAGAATATCTAGAGATGAGAAAAGAAGAAATACTCTCGACTGCTAGGCGTGAAGCTCGACTTATGCAGCACGACGCGATCACTGAGCTCTTCAAGAAGGCCTCTATTTTTTACGCTAGCATGTCGTCACTATTTGAGGATAGGCTGAACCCCTTAGTGAACGAGTTTGATTTATTTGAACGAGGTGAAGGAGTCCGTCCCGTACTGTTAAAGGAAATAGAGGGCTTGATTGCGAGTCTGCATGATGAAGTTAAGGAGACTTCATCAAGTGGAGGGAGAGGAGAAGAGAGGACTACATATCCTGGTGGAGGAAGAGGGGAAGAGATGACTACAGGGATGTGGAAGACTGTGATTACAGAGTCGTGGGACTGGGAGACTCCGGGTATATTGGAGAAGTTCGAAAATATTAACTTCGCAGATTGGACTTGGGAAACTGTCATACCATATGCACCTACTACACCACTATACAAACCAATCCAGGACTATGATGCAGTCCTACACTTCATTAACTTTTACGAAAATAACGACAAAAATCAACTTCAATACAACCTTGAAATCGAAATTATAGGGCCTTTAGAATCTTATTATTTTAATTAGAGCTAAGTGTAGTTTTAGATTTCATCTACCCCAAGTATCCCAAATATCCTACTCCTCAATTACTACTGCACTGAGGCTTAATTCGGCGGTTATTCTTTTGATAATAAATTGAGGGATCTGTTTTGTTAAATATAAAGTATCCCGACTCAACATTCTGAGTAAATCCAATACAACGGCAATTACTTTACGGCGTTATTCATCAGATATAGAATTCGTGTTGTTGATGAGTGACCTTTTCATACGATTGAAATTTAGTTATAATTCAGTGTTAACGATTGTAGGATGTCTGTTACTATGGAGCGTCTCAATTTTACAAAAGCTTAAATCACACATAATAAGTATGTGACATAATAGGTGTAAAATCCGGATTGGATTCATATTATTTATGAGTCGCATATTTGAAATTTTTTCTTGGGTAAATTTCTATTGATCCCGTTTGATGCGATAAACTTTTTCATACTTTCAACAGTACTATATAACAAATAATTTGAGATCATGAGTACGATGTTGTCACATTGAAACGTTGAATAATTCCTTTCCTGATAAGAGCTTTTTCCTTGTCGCATCAAACGGGATCAATAGAAATTTACCCAAGAAAACATAATAAGTGGTGACTGGTGAGTTGACTCGTCGTGACTAACTAGCTAAACCAACCAATCAGATCACAGTATTCTTACCACGTGACACAAACCAACCAATCAGATCACAGTATTCTTACCACGTGACACAAACCAACCAATCAGATCACAGTATTCTTACCACGTGACACAAACCAACCAATCAGATCACAGTATTCTTACCACGTGACACAAACCAACCAATCAGATCACAGTATTCTTACCACGTGACACAAACTAACCAATCAGATCACAGTATTCTTACCACGTGACACAAACCAACCAATCAGAGCACAGTATTTACCCCACTTGACACAAACTAACCAATCAGATCACAGTATTCTTACCACTTGACACAAACCAACCAATCTAGAGACAGTAATCAAATATGCGTCCAGCAGGCGTTTGTTGATTGTTCCGAACGGTACCTGGTTAGAATTACACAAAGAATCAGAACATTCATGTAGTTCTATGAGGGCAAGTACTCCACCACGGTTAATAATAGCCGGTGTGTTATATTAGAAATCTGTGCTGACTAACGAATATGAAGCTAGAATAATCTACCGTTCTGTTAAATAGCATGTATATAATGTAAGTATTTTCATTAATATAATCGCTTCAATTGCGTCAGTGACTATCAGTATCAATAACTATCAATATCTCAGAAATAATAGATAAATAATAAAACTAATGGATTATTTCCATAGCAGATTAATGGAAGTGTTCGAGAATTTAGTGACGCTGCCTGCGGTGCAAGAGATGCGCTCTACTCTATATTTTTAAACTCCTGACACTATCATAGCTTCATGTACAGCACTTTGTTTGTTCACCATGTATACCCGTTATCTTATCAGGGTCACCATGGTTACCCGTTATCTTATCAGGGTCACCATGGTTACCCGTTATCTTATCAGGGTCACCATGGTTACCCGTTATCTTATCAGGGTCACCATGGTTACCCGTTATCTTATCAGGGTCACCATGGTTACCTGTTATCTTATCAGGTGGTAATCGAAATAAATAGTTTTCACCTTTTTAACTTTATACATTCAATGTTACGACTAATATTACAGTATGAAACTACAGGTATCTACTATAGCTTACTAGATTAGGAAGTCTTTCTGTCACACTCACAAAGATGTAGCCAACTTTTGCCAAAATTAATATTGGCAGAAGTTTGTTAACAGTTGCTGGTATACGGTAACACTTATCGTAGCTATCTAGTATCTGATAAAAAGGGACCCGCAGTAACGGAATGAGAGGGTCTTACTGTTAAATAGCTATAATTTTGCCTTTGTAAATTGAGAATGATCTCTTACTCATAGTTAACACGTAAACAAAGTTAACATTGGCCGAACTCGGCTACATTTTAGTGAGGAGGACTTCCTCGAAATCTCAGGTTCCTATAGAATATTTACATGTATGTGTTTTCCCGATATCTTAAACAAGTACAACTCTAGCATATAGATCCAAATTCTATCAGGTGAATAAATCTAACGCCAAATATAGCACCACTTCTAACCTAAACCCTGCTTTAAAATCTGATTGGTTTCTGTTTCAGCTGAAGAACTACGAGAAAGAGTACGAGAGGTTCTTCGGTGACGTGTTGGAGTCTAAAGGGCGCACCAGACAAAGGAAACACTTTCAGAGCATGTCTTGCAAACTGAATAGTAAAAAGGCATTGTCCTGATACAATATAATGTAGTAAGTATATGTAATGGGTAGTAAGATATCGAGATATAGGTTTTGTGGGCTTTTGATGGGAGTCTGCTTTATCAACTGAAAATCTTAGCTCGATTTTATAATCCATCAGATAATCTACTGTAAGCTCGTACAGTTGCAATTCAAAAGTGCAATGAAACTTTAAAACGATTGAGTTAAGCAAACTTATATTTGCATGGATCTCATTCTGTAATGATATTACCAATAATATTAATACAAATATTATCTGTCAACAAAACGTCTCTTCGATTTATACATGCCTCGCAAAATGAGACAGGGATTTTATTTTTCTTATTGTATTTGAGAGTTTAGTTTAGTTGTGTTTAATTTTAGAAATTGCTATAAATCATTGGAATTGTTCTGCTGGTTATAAAACATTTTATTTGTTCTGTAAGTTCTTTAAGTTCTGCACTATATTAAGCTATATTACAGAATAATGACTTGTAACCTCGAGCTCACCCACTCAATTTGACTGTCTAGTTTCTACAATTAATATAAAACTAAAATATAATACAAGTTAAAACCTGATGTTTTACTTTCCCATGAGGTCGGATAGCTTTTTATCCACTCTCTATAATAATTTAAAACTAACTCACCCTCCATCCAGCTAATTTACTCCCGATCCAGGTTTGAAATTTGAGCGGTGCCTCACCAAATGGTGTGTCGTTCCAGAGAGAATTTCTCAATCTCTAGGAGAGGTCTGAAAGTGTTTAGTCAGCACGAGGAGCAAGCCAGAATGATGACCTGGTCACGTGATGACAGGCACTGCATCCAGCTAGTCACGTGACAGGTTAGCTGACAGCTTGGAAATACCTGCCACCGGCATCACTCTACCGGGATCATTTTATTTCTTTCAGTCTGCTGTTCGTTTTAGAAGAACAAGAGAATGAGGCTCTTTTTACTAAATATAATGTAAGTGGTTATAGAATTATTGACTTTACGCGGAATTTCTTATCTTTCCTATTTTATAGGGCCACTTGGTTTTTCATAGAAATTGTATATCCATCGTGCTTCATCTGAATCCCTAAAAAAGATATAATACTGTCCCTCTCGTCTTCCAGACTCTTTTGTTGAAATTCCTTCGTTTCTTCGCACATAATACTGACTGATTTACTTTAACTCGAAGATAAAATTTTGAAATTATAAGTTTCTACTTCTAGTGATCAAAACATCAAACCTTTCAGATTACCTATAGTCCTAGCTGGAAACGCTCCAGGTAATTGATATTTATAATTATATTGATTATAATCAATTTCAAACTTTATCAAATAATTGAATACCCACTTGTTATCCATAGTCTATAGTATTAGTAAGGTCTTAATTTTTGATTTTTAATTGCACTCGGGCAAGCCTTAGTATGATTTATTTAATTAATCTATAATTTATTTAACAATCTTCCTTATACCAGCTGACTGGGAATGCGCTCCACTCACGAAGATAACATCTTCTGTGGACGGGTGTGTAGCTTCCAGCTCCTTCGCCGACGGAGTGTGGAGCATTGCAACATCAACCGCTAAGGTAACGTCTTCCTCGCGTGACGTAACACGTATCACACTGTCCCTCGCGTGACGTCATGTTCTCCCTCACTTAACTGCAAACTCATTGCCGTGACGTCACACTTTTCTTAACGTGACGTAACATTTATTAACGTGACGTCATACTTTTTTCACGTGACGTAACACTCATTACCGTGACGTCACACTATCTTCACGTGACGTAACACTCATTTACTTAACTTTAAAGACTCTTACGTGACGTCACCATGTCCTTTAGGTGACTGTTACTGTTTATGAGACAGTGAACCAATTTATAGATCGTGTATACTTGTTAGGGGAATATTTCAGGGTCACTCTATCCAAAGTACCAACCATTTAACCAAATAACCTAAACATCCTGAAACTAATATCTCTCAGACTGGAGCAGGGGCTAACAAGTTCTGTGTAATCTCGCTCTCTGGGGATAAAGTTCACACTAGCAAGGACTTCTACGTGAAGGCTAAGTTCTCTAACGGTCAGGCAGGTAGACCTGGTCCTTTCGGAGGACTTACTTTTAATGGGGAGGATGATTCTAATACCAACTACGTTATGATGAGGTAATCTAGTTACAATATACTTACAATACAGTTACAATCCAGTTACAATCTAGTTACAATCTAGTTACAATCTAGTTACAATCTAGCTACAATCCAGTTACAATATAGTTACAATCTAGTTACAATCTAATCACAATCTAGTTACAATCTAATCACAATATAGTTACAATACAGTTACAATCCGGTTACAATATAGTTACAATCTAGTTACAATCCAGTTACAATATAGTTACAATCTAGCTACAATCCAGTTACAATCTAGTTACAATATAGTTACAATATAGTTACAATCTAGTTACAATCCAGTTACAATCTAGTTACAATCCAGTTACAATATAGTTACAATCTAGTTACAATCCAGTTACAATATAGTTACAATCTAGCTACAATCCAGTTACAATCTAGTTACAATCTAGTTACAATATAGTTACAATCTAGTTACAATCCAGTTACAATATAGTTACAATCTAGTTACAATCTAGTTACAATCCAGTTACAATATAGTTACAATACAGTTACAATATAGTTACAATCCAGTTACAATACAGTTACAATATAGTTACAATATAGTTACAATATAGTTACAATCTTGCAACACAATCTAGTTACAATCTAGTTACAATCTTGCAACACAATCTAGTTACAATCTAGTTAATTTTGTTGAACGGATACACTCTCTCACCTTAATCTAGCCCGTTAAACTTGTATATTAATCTGCCCTATGCAGTATGCACTATAGTATGAACAATCGGCAATATCAAAGAATCAAGGAGTGAAACTAACTAACTTGCTCGCAGACTGAAGGTTCCAGTAGCAGCTAACGTTCAGATGGGTAAAATAGCGAAGGGAACAGGGCACAACCTCGCCCAGAGCAAGGCAAAGAACAATGCTGTCGCTAGTGGAGCTGCTCTTTTAGGTTAGTTTGCATTACATTTATTAATAGAATTGTTTGAGATAATGTTCTTAATCCTTGTGTCATCATTCTCACAGTATTACCCCTACGAAAATGTTTCCTTGTGTTTCACTATGTGTTATTCTTCACAGAGATCCTGGTCCGAGACGAGCAAGAGACAGTTTGGGTTGACGGTGCTCTAGAAGAGTCCATCTCCACCCAGCAGCCCTTCTTTGTAGCACCTGGACATGTTGGGTTCGGCTTCCAATCAGTGACCAGCTGGCCTGCCATCAAGGTTTGTAACATTTGATTTTACGGTTCAGATTTGATAAATCTAATTAATCAGAAGCAAGTCTGGCAGTTCAGTGGGGTGTTTACCATTTCAGCTTCTAAATTTTCTTCACCTGATAGTGATAGTACTTCTATTTGCGACCCTCATTGTCTAAAATAATCTGACTATTTGTGACCGGTCATTCCATTCCAAAATTAAAAAATGAACTGCCCCGTAACAGGTAGAAGGAGCTGAAGTGTGTACTCCTATCACGTGTACAGATGTAGACGGTAAAGTACACTCTGGTGGGGACACGTGGACAAACGATGACGGCAAGACGTGCACGTGTTCCGCTGAAGGTATCGAGTGTGTGTGTGGTGATGAAACTCTCACCTGCCCCGGAGGCCAGGAGATATGGACAGAACCTGGAACTTGTCTTTCTAAATGCATCAGATGTTAGTAACCATTGTTAGTGAGGGTTTGGTAACTGGGTTTCTTATGTGTACTTCCCGAAGTAACCCAGTTTTGAGTTACATTTGAGTGTACATTAACTTATTAACTGTGAATTAGAATAAAGTAACCTTGGTAACTGAGTGTTTGGTAACCTTGGTTACCTTGGTAACTGAGTGTTTGGTAACCTTGGTTACCTTGGTAACTGATTGTTTGGTAACCATTGTAACTGTATTTATGTCAGCACCTGCCCACTGTCACAGTACAGGAGACCCCCATTACAAGACTTTTGATGGCAGTTACTACGACTTCCACGGAATGTGCACCTACCAGGCTGCTAGTTGTGGGGACTTTGTTGTAAGTATTAAAAAAGTAGTACTATCCTTGGCCTTTTTAGATAACATATTTAAACTTGTGGAGCCTTTCATCGAATCACTCACAATTTCAACTTTTGAAGAACTGAATCATACACACTTAATGATGACACTCCCTTTTAGGTGAACTTTAAGAACATAGATCTCTACGGCAGGGCACCTCGTTATACCAGGAGAATAGAACTCGAGTTCAAAGGACAGGTCTTCTCTATTCAAGCCGGAGGGACCGCAGCTGTGGATGGCGTTGCTGTGAGTTCAATAACATTCTCAATAAATTAAGGTGTCTTTTGAGTGTATCTGGATCGTTAAGTTACTCATTAAATTCCATAATCCGTTAGCAGATCAAAAAGATGCTAAAACAATTTACTTTTTATCTTAACAGTCGATGATGAGTTTTTTATCCTTAGATTAAATTATAGAAAATTTCAATGATCTAAGATCTCTTAGACTTAACTTGTTTACCATACAGGTTCAAGTGCCGTACGTAAAGACCTACACAAACGGAGATAGGGTAGAGATCATCAACAATGGTCAGCTGGAGTTCTTACTCTACAACAAGGGCAGAAGTCCGTCAGTCAGGGCCAGAGCTACAAACTACGGTCAATGGATCAACGCTGACATGTGGCTACACGGATCTTGCGCTGATGTCACTGAAGGTCTTTGTGGAAAGTGGGATGGAGTTAGCAATAATGATCTCATCCACAACGACCCCAACGCTAATGGTACGTCAACCAACAAGCAGATCCTTTCATATCCGACTTTAACCCTCTCCCCTTATCTTTAACCTTCTCCCTTTATCTTTAACCCTATTTAACCTTATTTGTTCTTGAATCAATATCATCTGTTGCACACTGCACGGTGTCTGATTCCTTTACCCTGGCCCTTATGTGTAACTATCTCCCCTAGGTGAACATTACAAGAAGTTTGATGAGAGCTGTCCTGCCCCTCCCGTACCCTACCATCCATGTGACGATATTCCTGGAGGCAAAGTTGAGGCTGAGAGACTGTGTGGAGCTTTCAAAGGTTTGATCGCCATCTGAAATCATCTATTTCTCGACACGTTCCGTGCTTATCCTTTGTAATGATTGTTGATCAAGTAACATTTTCCTGCTGTGTTCCTTGTATTTTCAGATGACACACAACTAACACCTCACCCTGCAGCTGAACCGTTCACGTACTGTCACAACAAAGTGCCAGTAGGGACCCCCGAAGGAGGACCTCTGGGAGACTGTATCACTGACGTGTGTCACTGCTGGTTGGATCAGAGCTGTGCGTGTCCTCAGCTTGATACCTACGCTGAGTCCTGTATTGCTAATGGTGTGGATCTCAGTGACTGGAGGGAGGAGGTCGAGTACTGCCGTGAGTATCTTAATGATCCTATTTGTTGGTATTCTCACCATATATTGGGTCACCCCCACTGCTCACTATCTTTCCGTATTATCTCAAGCTATCTAGGGGCCATCGCAGTGAAAAACAACGACATAGCCCCGTCAACTGTCTTCTCAGCGCCAGTTTATATCCATTTAATTTATAAAGATGATAATAATAAAGATGATAATAATCGGACCAAAGACGATTGGTTTTTTAGATTTTAATGAGACTGCGCCAAGTATGATTTATGTTATTGTTATAATCAGCTTTCAGCATAGCATACATTAGAACTATTTTTATTTCTATCGAATCTTGCCACGACAGTCCTATGCAATATGCGTCTGACCAGTGTCTGATTAGTACTTTAGTATATGATTCAAGTAGACAGTAGACTGGTAGACTGGTAGACTGGTAGACTGGTAGACTGGTAGACTGGTAGACTGGTAGACACTAGACTGGTAGACAGTAGACATGCTCCGTGGCAACACACATTACACCAGGTCATTAGTGGATTATTCTAGCTCCATATTTATAATGGAGCACAGATTTCTAAGTTAACACACCGGTAATTATTGTGGAGCACTTGCCCTCATAGAACTACATAACATTAATGTTCTGTTCTCTAGTCCAATTAGAGTCATGCTCATTAGTTCATAGCTTGTTAAAAACCGTCTAGACTGTACGTGTAAAATAGTCCACTTCTCGTACGAGGATGCGTCTAAAATAATGCTCTGGATATTTCTCCATGTAGTGTGATATGTCAATGATTATTGATTAGCAATCATTCGATGAAGTTACCCAATCACTATAACGAATCTCCCATTTAACTTTTACCATCTTTTCAGCGTACGATTGTCCTGACCCAACAATATACCTGGCTGATGGAGCCACCCCAGTACCAACTTGTCTCAACAAGGAGCCAGAGAAGACCGGGACTGTTAGAGGGTGTTTCTGTCCGGACGGAAAGTTCCTACAGGATGGAGTTTGTGTAGATGCTAGCGGGTGCAAGTGTCTCTACGAGGGACAGTTCTATGATGTAAGTTAAAAAAAGCAAGGAAATATTTTAATTGGTTATGTTAGTGTCACATACTAAACCAGTACCGATACCATTTCATTGTTATCTTCTGTTCTGAGCTATCTGTCTCCTGACTCCTACTTTCCTGAGATACGGGTACCTTACATGTCTTGGAGCTAAACTTAAACAGAGTTTCAACCGTAACCCTGGCAACTAACTACCGTAACCCTGGCAACTAACACGTATATCCCCAGAACGGAGCAACTGTCGAGAAGAAAGCAGAGTGCAAGACCTGTACTTGTCAAGATGCTGGGGAGATGGTCTGCGAAGACTCGCCCTGTCCTGAACTAAGCTGTGATGATAACGAAATAGAAGGTTCCTCTCAATCTATTCGTTGCATGATTTAGAGATACTCTAACTGCTCTTTATTCAGATGACCAGTACCTCCTAAATGACTATGGTTAGTGTTCATAATGGATATTTGAAAGTGGTTATATTTCAGCTATCAAGGATGACGATTGTTGCCCTTACTGTGACGATGCCTGGGTAGAGGCCATGAACCCTGAAGTAACTGTGAAGAAGGGACAGAAGATCGTGCTAACGTGTGCTGTACACGCTGACGTGCCCAAGAGTGCTATTACCTGGTACAAGGGCACCCACAAGGTTAAGAAGGGACTCTCAAGAACCAGGTATATCCTCACTCAGCTGTTTAGTAAATTGTAGATATTGTGAAATTATAGGTTTTATTTATGACAGTGATTCCCGTGATAAATTTTATAACATGATAAATACTTAAATATAACACATGTTTTGTGTGCAGACTGCGTCTTACCATCGACGAAGCCACCGCTGAAGACGACAGTGATTACCGGTGTGAAGCCATCAAGGACGGAAAGGTCGGGTCGGACATGTTTGTTGTTGATGTGGTGATGCCTGCTCACTGTGAACACGAGGACGGACACGGCTTCTTCGAGGGGCACAAGTACCACCCTCAGGAGACAGAAGTGTGCACGTGTGATGCACAAGGAGTACATCACTGTGAATGTGTTGATGATGGGGAAGAGTGTGAAGATCCCACCCCTGTGGTTTGGTTTAACGCCAACTGTGTCAAGACCTGCGTTCCTGAGGCCGGTCTTTGCAGTGCTGCAGGTATGTTAGAATTTAGTAAGACACAACTGTAGCTAGAGATGGGTGAAATCGTTAACATGTAGGTAAATATATCTCGTAGTGACAGTGAAGGTGAAATGAGAAATTAACCTACTTTTACACAGCCGACCCCCACTACAAGACGTTTGATGGTTCTGAGTTTGCTTTCAAGGGAGACTGCAAGTACAACTTCTTCGGTTGTGGCGAGATTAAGATGTTCGCTGACCACGAGAAGGACAAAGCCAGCACTAAGACCAAATATATCGAGGTTTAACCCTAATTAATTTAAACACTTAATTAAAGTCAAGCTTGTCCGCATTCAAATGTAAACAGGTACTTCTAGTGCGACAGAAAGTGTAACCCCTGGCAATGTCCACAGATCGCATTTAAGACTGACGTTTACAAACTGGAAGGTAACTCTGTATCTCTGAACGGAGACGAAGTTACAGCCCCTCTTCACAAGGTTTACAAGGACGGTTCTGCTCTCAAGATTGAAGATGTTGGTAAGTAAGAACTGTTACCTTTAGTCTGAGAAGCAGCTGATAGATTATATCACCACCCTCTATTACTACTAGAAACGTCTAAAAATTGCCAACCCTCTAAAAATTGTCAAACAACGTGGTCCCAGATTTTCAAAATCGAATAGAAATTTCTTCCAAATGATTTAATAGTCCCCGTCTACAGGACAGTTCGTGTTCTCCATCGTACAAGACGGGAAGGATCCTCTAGTGGAACTCACCTGGGACAAGGTAACCAGCTACAACCTCAAGGTTCACGGAACATGCAAGGGCTCGTCAACTGGCATGTGCGGCAAATGGAACGGTAAAGCTAAGGATGATATGACTATGCCTGATGGCGAGGTTGCTGAAAGGTGAATATTCCAACTATGATAGTGCAATCATAACTACATTCTTTTCAATTATTCTTCAAATCACTATTAAATCAGAAGGTCACAGTCATGAAAGTTCAAATCGTTTCAATATTCCCAAGTAATCATCAACGTTAACGCGTTTAGTACTGCCTGGCAAGTACATGATAGGGATAAGACCCTTACATTTTACAACTCTAGCTGTGTCTCAAGTCTTTTTCTCAAGTTCACTTTCGCTTTCAGTGTTGAAGCGTTTGGCACTGCCTGGGCTGTTGATGATGAAGATGAGTGCCCTGCACCACCTCCAATACCTGATATATGCGAGGACTTCGGACTGATGACTGAGAAGGTCGGATACGAAGAACATGTCGTAGCTGTCCTCAAGGGTAAGCTGGTTCAAATTGGGAACCTTAGTTCAACTCAGGTAGCTTAGTATGCTTCGTTCTCTTTGCCAAATAAAAGAGCAAATTGGTTTGATATGAATGTAACATGGAAAGCGATTAATCCACATTAACCGGTAACTTTCACTTCCAGCTGGAGTGCTAGGTCAGTGCTCTAAAGTGGTGGACAACTCAGAGACAGTGAACGCGGCCGTACAGGAGATCTGTCTCTGCTTCGGAGATAAGAACTGTGCGTGTCCAGTATTCAATCAGTTCGCTGCTGCTTGTGACGCTGCTGAATTTAACACCGCTGGATGGGCTCTCAAGAACAAGAACACAGAGTGTGCCCCTAGTTGTCCTGATGGCTCCACATTTAGAGTAGCGGGACCCAAACCCGCTCCATCGTGCTCCAAACCTAAAGGAGGACGCAAGACACAGAAGGGATGTTTCTGTCCAGAGGGACAAGTCATGGAGGGAGGCAAGTGTATCGCTGCTGAAGACTGCGTGTGTGAATATGCCGGTCAGAGATTCGACGTGAGTCAGGCATCAGATTCGAGTGTTTAAGTATCCACTAGTATTAGCAAATTCCACTAGTATTAGCAAATTCCACTAGTATTAGCAAATTCTCCTCCTACGTACTATTGTTCCTCACATCTGCTGTACCCAGATTGGAGACAAGTACGATAAGCCAGATATCTGCCAGAGCTGTTCGTGTGTTGGTAGTGGAGATGAGAAGTGTGAGGATATGCAATGCAACACTGAGTGTACAGAGGTTATTATCTTATCTTATACTTAATAGTACTATGTTTACAGTATGCACTGAAGGGGTACCCTCCTTATTTAACCCTCAATTAAGTTTCCTATCAACCGAGGAGATAGCATAGATCCAATGGATCTTATAATAATAATGATGACTACATATTAATCTTATCTGCTATTAAGCTATTTGTTATCCTTCTTCCTGAATTCTCTAAGTTTCGCTTATAATTGGTGGCTTTAATTTGAGTTTACCTATAACCAACCTTCTAGAACGAGCTCGAGGTTACAGCTGACGGCGAATGTTGTACAAAATGTCTGGCTAACTGGGTGGAGGCAGTTAACCCCAAACCTGATGCAACTGTTAGCGAACCACTCGCTCTTACCTGTAAAGTTACTGGTGTCGAGGTCACTGCTGACGATATTAAGTGGTCAGTACAGCTATTTTTCTGCTATTGTTAAGGAAAATGTTTTTGTTGATTTATGAACATTGAACACCTCTCTGCAATACCTACATGATTGAATTGCTTGATAATCACAACCACGACGCTAACTTGTACACTTGTGCTATTCAGGGTACAGTTTGCACCTGAAGTAGATGTATCTAAACCAAAGAGAATATTCGAGATTTCTGATGATGGATTGGTTCTGACTATCAAGAAGATGAACGAAATGAGAGTTGGTCAGTCTAATTCGAATAATATTTCACTATTTCTCAGAATGTAAACTTAAAGGAAATTAGCTATATTCTCTAATATGACGTACCATTTCTCTTGATTTTCTCCGAAAGCAACAGTAAGCGTTCCAGCAGAAGACATACCTCTATGATGTGATGATAACACGTTGCTTCAACAATAAAACTATACAATAAAACTATACAATAAAACTATACAACGAAACTGTGTAAATCTTTAACTTCATGAGATCCCTCGCCTGAGATTGAAGTTATTGTATTAGAAAATAAAGTTGTTCACATATTACGTAATCAGCCGAGGGCGGAGGGGGTTTCCAAATGCTTACGGTTGAATTGTATAAGAAATTAAGAGATTAAGGTAGCTTTATTAGAAAATAACGGGCGGTTATATTGGCAGGTAACTACAAGTGTGTAGTGACGAAGGACGATAAGGTATCAGAGGGTGTATTTGAAGTACTGCTGCCTATTGTACACGAGGATCTCATAGAACCTGTACAGGAAACCGTGCAGTTCATCGAGGGCAAGTGAGTGTTAATTAGTTAATTGGCTGATTAGTAGGTTAATTGACTGATTAGTCAGTTAATTAGACTGTTAATAAGTTGATTTACTCGGGGTGGAAATCTCAGTGTATAATAACAGCGGAGGGACTGCTATAAACTACAATATTATTAGGACTAATATGTATGTTAAACTAGTTGTGTAGTAACTAGTAAACTGATCTTTACCAGGGATCTGGTGGTGGAGGTGAAGAAGCTCGGAGGAACCATCACAGACCTTTCATGGGAATGTAACGGAGTGAAGATGGAGCAGAAGATCGTAAACAAGAAGACAGGTTGCAAGTTGGTCCTGAAGGGGGCTACGGCTGACATGGCTGGATCTTGCACTTGCTTCGTCAGGGGAATTGGCTCTCAGGACAGCGCCGAGATTAAGATCGAGGCTCAGGGTTAGTGTTTATCATTAACCGATTAATTGTTCAATTAGTTGATTATGTCAGGGAATAGTTTAAAAGGTTAAATAAGCTAATTGTTAATTGATTATTGATAAACTTTAGACTCCCGTTATAAATGCTGCACGATCGTCGAGACTTGTAAAGTAAATTCGTCGTCTTAAAACATAAATAAAGTAAATATCGCTAATATCTGACCCGTCACCTGATAATAACCTTACTACTTCACTTGTCTTCCTCCAGCTAACGAAGTAACAGTCACCCCGCTGAAAAAGAAGATCACGTGCACAGAGGGAAAGAAGAAGTGTAATCCCAAGTGTAGCGTCACCATGACAGCTGGAGTAAGTTGATATTATGAAGGAGCAAGTTAAAATTATGTCAGTATAAGTGACCGGTACCCTCGATCAAGGTGAACAAAGTTCACTATAATTCTTATTCAGTTTCGTAAGTTGTTCTTATCTCACTGAGCATCTAATCTAACATTATTTCCCTATCACAGAGCGTGGCCAAGAAATCAGTAAAGGTCTGCAAGTTGGAAGATAACGGTAAGCTGTCCAAGTGTAAGGCAGCTAAGGTCAGGAAGGGTAAATACGGAAAGAGTCTTGGCAAGGTCACCGCCGCATCTGCTGGAAACTATGTGTAAGTCACAATAAATAAACTCAGGTCATTTACAGCCATTAAACTCAAGATATTAACACATCAACTTCTTTAAGTCATCAGTGTTCATATTGTACGTAAAATCTAACGTAGCGACTAAAAATTAGATTGACCCATGATTAAGATCTACAATCTACATGAATGATGAGGAAGCAGCAACCGATTAACTATTCCTTCTACAGGTGCGTGCACTCAGACAATGGAGTCGATACTATCTCTGACCCCATGGCTGTTGTTGTCAAGCCAGCAGGCAAGATACTAATCTAAAGAACTTAATTGGCTGGATTCCTTGAGTTGAAATAGAAAAAGACGAATAAAAGATTTTATAGTGAACCCTGTGAATTTTTTGACTGAAAATAACCTTCTTTTATTGAAAAATTTGATTTTCTTGTCCTAAAAACGCCGAATTAAAGAATAAATATCACGTCTAAGTGTACTTTATAATTGCTAATTGACGATTTGAAAGTTTAAAGGTGAAATTTTTTAACCATGACGGTAGCACTACATAACTTATGTATTACAGTGGTGGCAATACAAAGGCGATCTAATCTAATCCATAATCGGCGCGGCGGTTTTATTTGTCACAACACTTACCTAGCTTTACGTTACTATCAAAATTATATTTGTGTTATTCAATGGTTGTTCAGAAAGTTTATTTTAAATCACTTATTCAATTCAATATTCGATGTTTAGTTATATGTTATAGATCAAGATGTGGATAGACGTGCGCCGCGCTATATCTCCAGTCTCCACCGAAAGCACATCCAATTTGATACGTATGAAATATATCTAGAACTTGTTTGATTCTGCATTAAGTTGACGTTTACTTAATTGACGCGATGTCAATTCATCGCAGCTCGGCAAGGCACAGTAGCGCATTTCGCCGATCTAGAGCGCTAGATCGGCGAGATGCGCTACTAGTACTACTCTAGCGAGAAACATAATTGAGTGCGTGGCGCGCGGCACAGTATATATAGTAGTATTTTGCTCTAACCAGAACCCTCTCGCGACTCGCTTGCATTACTGATTACCGCGCGGCGACCGCCGAAGGCGCGTCAACAAGCGCGTCAAGCAGTACTGAGTACGCGTATACACATGGCTATGTGAAATTAAAGTAGTATTAGTAACGCTAGTAGTACTAGTAAAGCAGTTGTATCACGTTGCGACCCCCACGGTCGTTTCACTATCGTCCTGGTACGATACAGGGCCGGGGAGCCGCGCACTCATGCGCGGCGGGTCATACAATGTATGACAATAAAGCATGCAGCAGTGCGCTACAAACGTGTACTGACCAAAAATTCAATTGAACGGGGAATCGTTTAGGATCACTTTCGAGGCAAATTGACAAATGCAAAAGCTATTCACGCTATTAATTGTGCTCGATCTTCAAAACTAAAAATAGGGAGTACACGATAAGTCGATAAAAATAAACTTGCTCGGATTTTCAAAATTTTTGTACCATTGTTTTAATGTTTTCTAGAGACTGTGAGAATTTTCACAGTACCAAATTTGTCATACCTTTTTGGAAAGATCAGTGAGTTTCGCCTAGGTGCCATATTTGATGGTGCGCGGCTTTTGCGCTCCTACTGCCTACTAAATCGCTCGCCCAAATTTTAATAAGATTCTTGTGAAAAGGCCCTTTGGGTATGAAATAGATCTAAATCGGTGTATTTTTGGACGCTGATTCCGAATCACCCCCCATGACGTAGGGTTCACCTAACCATGTGCTTTCGCGCCACTGCGGGCGCGCTTGTTTCACAAGTCAAGAAACCGCCGTGAGGCGGGTGCGCGCTACTGCAAGCGCAAGGGCTCTGGATAGAGCAAACGTAGGGTAAAAATGCTTCCCTGGAGAGTTATGGGCAAAAAACCGTTTTGGTCACGTGACAGGTTAGTAAAACATGAATTCGATTGTTTAGGGCTCGGGTTAGGGTTAAGGTTGTGGTAAGGGTTATGGATAGCTTCGGGGTTATGGTTAGGGCTAGGGTTGGGATTAGGGTTTATGTAAAACCGTTTTGTACGGCTGCAAAACCATAAAAACCAAAGTCACGTGAAATTTTTGGGCGAGCGAATTAGTAAAAGTTTAAAGCCTTAATTGACGATGTCAATTTATGGCAGCTCGGCGCGGCACAGTAGCGCATTTCGCCGATCTAGCCAGTGAGAAGCCTTATTAAGTGCGCGGCGCGGCACAGTAACGCATCGCGCTACAATAAAAGCCTGGCTTTTGAGCAAAATTTGATGTAAAAGTCGCGTTATTTGACGAAATTCGTTGATTTTTGTCGTATTATTCTGTCATATCTTCGGTTCCTTGAATGAGATCATTCTGAAAATTGATATGAAGACCTTCCAATATGCAATGGGGCTTTTAGCCTTTTACAACTGTCCAAAAAATTTGGTGGATATCGAAGTTGATATAGTGATCAAAATGGGGCAAAATACGCTGATTTTAGCTGTATTATATAAATGTAACATAATGTTAGGGAGTGCAGGATAAAAATAAACTTGCTCGGATTTTCAAAATTTTTGTACCACTACCATTGTTTTCTAGAGACTGTGAGAATTTTCACAGTACCAAATTGAACGGTACCAAATTTAACGGGTGATACTCGTAAAATATCTGTTCCATATATATTATATACATAATATATATATCCAGGACCGTCGACGAGTCCAACTCGGCGCGCGTCCTGGTACGGTAGGTTATAAACCTACAAGTATGAAAGAGGGGGAGTTTTCTGTGGTTAGGGAGTATCTGGTTACCTGGGGATTGTAGGTTTACAACCTACCAGGACGCGCGCCGAGTTGGACTCAGATATTTTACGAGTATCACCCGTTAACCTGGGGACCTCAGGCTATTATATTTATGTTCACAATCATAGAGATTCGGCGGAATGACAGGCTGAGCGCGGCCCAGTAAGGATCTGGCTGCTTTGGAGAAAGACTACGAAGAAGTTGGAGTCGACTCTGTTTACGGTGAAGCTGTGAAGAAGAAGGTGTAAAGTACTAAAAACCCTGAACGACTGTTTCTGAAAAGAAATCTGTAAAAATTTCTGTAAAATTGTTATGAATTGATAATATTAAATATTACTATTACTAATACTATGGTTGATTCACGATGTCAATCCTTTGCATCTCGCCGATCTGCATATGATCTGTGGTTGCGATAAAATGCGCGGCGCGACCCAGTAGCGCATTGCGCTACAAATACTATGGTTGATTCAGATCAATTAATATCATTCTTTATCAATAATCATGATACTAGTCTTTTAATTTGCTTCTATTCAATTAGTAATCATTCGATATTTTTTCCTCCAGTTGGAAACTTTAATCTTTTGTGTCGGTTAATTTGGTGACGGTTCAGATTGGTCCATGGCTCAGTGGTTGATGATTTGGTGTAAGCTATAGCTGTGATGGAGACACATCTCATAACAATGCATAACAATTTAACTTGGTCCAAATAAAAAAGCTTCGTTCACGTTCCTAGTCCTGACACAGTCATGGATCGGGAAAAACAATGTATATTACAATAAATATAATAAGTATTCTGAAAAAACATACAATGAATACCAATAATTACTGAATCGCAGTCTCTTTCTTTTATTTTTTATTAGAACATTAAAAGTTGTCTAAAATATTAAAATTTTAAATATCAAAAGTTATAATTATAGATTATAAATTTATAGATTCGTCCGGGTTTTTGAGTTGTTATTTTTTCTATCACATCCCGATAAAACACCATGTTAACTTTAAGATAGTGTTTTGTACCGTAGAACCATTCCAGTCCACAAAAGGTTTAGATGTTCATATTAACAGCAAACAGGAGATTGACGAGGAAAATTAAGCTGACTTTTAGGGCTGCTGCATCAGAGTAGTTCTGGTTGTCTCCCTGTTCACTTACATCTTCTTCTTCACTTGTATCTTCTTCTGAAGGGGAAATTTAATTTAGTAAAAGATACCTTCATTCTGGAAAGATATCGGCATGATCTATTTTATATGGCTTTGACTAATTATTGCAAGACCACGAACAGACACAAATCTTATATTTATATTTAGGAAATATAAACAAGTAATTACAACTATTCGATTATTTTAGTTCGCTTGACTCCCGTACGTTAAACTGTTCATTTGTCTTTCAATGTTCAAAAATTTAATTAAATAGGTAAAATAAAATCGATTGCAACCGACAAAATACTGGCACTGAAAAATTATTCATCATCCTGATGGACGATTCTTCTATTCACAGGTGGAGCCTGACATAATAAAGTTTATAGGACACAGTAGAAAATAGGTATCATATTCTGAGTGTGCGACAAAGTTTACCAAATCTTGCCTTCGAATCCCTGCTCTTTAACCAATGATGTTTTATGATTGTTAGATTGATCTAATTAGTAATCTGCTACATTTCAGAATAAGGAATACTATACTGTTAACTATAGGCAGCTATAGTTAACAGATTCACAAAAATGTAAACTTGTAGTTGTAACATTATAGTGCATAACAACAATAAAGTTTCTGTGTTGAGAACTTCTGAACATGCTTGGTTAATATTTTTGTGTGTGTACCAATAATCTCAACTTCCACTGAACATGTCCATAATAATAGTAATTTGAGCAGTGTGTTTTACTCATTATCATTTCTTTATTTATTGTTCTCTATTGCGATATACAAATCCTGGTCCACGAGATAATAATAGAGCTATTCACGGCCTACAAGCTGCGGGACAGGTCACGTGGTGTGAGGTGTCTGCTTCCATCACAAAAGGAGAGAAGGAACTCATAAAGCGGAAAATAGAGTGTACTGTGTAGAGACGATAAATATATAGGCCTTATCACTTATCAGGAACATGGATGCTCAAAGTCCTTCTGGTAACAACTGTCGAGAAATGACCAGAGCAATCACAGGAATTACTATCTCATGTTCGAGAAAAGGAATATCAGCCAGATGAAGGAGAGAATTCACCGAGCTGAGGCAGAAAGGAACACGTAATATCGATTGTTGAGGGAGGAGCTCATTGGAGAGAGAACGGGAGTGATAATTATGGGCCTAACCGAAAGACATGGATGATTTAAGACCTTCAGTCCTAAGATGGCAAGTACGTACGGTACGTACCTTTAAATTAGCTGTACGGTACGTACTTAATAAAGTAGGCTGAAAGGTACAAATCCAGTTGATAGCAATAGAAACAAAAACTAGACGGTGGTGTTCGTATACTGCAACAAAAGGATGAAGCTTTGAGTTTAACGATAATTACAAGTAGTAGTAGTGTAGTACCGGTTAAGAGCGATCCGGTACACAAATTTCCCTCTTAAATCTTTTATTGTTTTAACCACTGTGTTTATTTTCGACTTCTATCTCAAAAATTATGATGATAATATTAATAAAAAATTGCTAGTAATTCACTGAAGTTGATAATAAAAATTTGAAAAAAAATTGTACCTTACAGTGCCTGTACGGTACGTACCTTTAAAAGTAGCTGTACCGTACGTACTTAAAGCCCTGTACCGTACGTACTTGCCATCTAAGCTTCAGTCACCAGGGTGAACGCTAAAAATACGCCTCATCAACAAACTATGAAGCATAATGCACATACTGTTATACTGTGCAAACTCTGCAAAATAAATCTTGAACCAAAACAGTTTTGAGTTTGTTTGGTAAAATACCTAATTACTGCTTATTTTCAAGATATTTTATAAAAACATCAGTTTTCAATTGATAATTGTTTCAACCTTTAGTAACTGAAAATGGCTTCTCCCCATCATGTCTACTACAAAATATACAAGATTTATAAATTATAGTTTGCTATTTTGTAATCCGCTAATATGATTATAACTCTGCCTTCATTGAAAGAGTGTGATTTTATCTCATTCGGAGAACAGTAATTGATAAAATTATGACCACCTTATTAAGTTATAAATAACAATATGCTAACTACGGAGGAGAGAACATTACACTATCATTCATATGCGGAAGATTCTACACAAAAAGTGTCCTAATGATGTCAACGTTCAGTTTACAGATACACTCCGTTATGGCCAGAAAGCAGTAGTCTCTAGCTTGTCAACGTCCAGTAGCCAAAGGAATCAAACGATCTTTGACAGCTAATTTGCAGTGATGGGGCCTCGATTGTGGAACATCATTCCCGCAAACCTGCACCTCATCGAGGACCCCCTACGCTTCAAGTCATTGTTGACGGAGTTTGTTACATATATTCCGGACGAACCTCTTGTTATTGGATATTGTTGCCAGAACGGGAATTCGTTATTGAACTGGAGCGCAGAAAAGACAGCAACTTCGCTGCACGGGTGGTCAGCCGTTCTGATGACCCGATAGAGGATCTATGAAGCAACCCCAAGTAACCCAAGTAAGTAACTATCCTATATCCCATATCCTATATATGTGTTATATTATGTAAAATAACACACTTGAAATTTTGACAGAAAACACGTAATCACGAGCTTACGAGAAAATCAGCAAGGTGGTTTATTTATAAATTAAAGTTATTGTTACTTTGTTAAACCAATGCCTGTTGTTATTAGTCACCTGGTAATTGTAATTGTGTTCCGTAGTTATCAGATGCTGTGTCAGAGGAAGAGAACTTTATCTTTGTCACGTCTCTGATCCAGGTAGTGCTCCAAGCGCTATTACTGCACGTTAATTCAGAGACCACTGTGTTGACCACCTCCTCGTTGTTACAGTGTATCACTAGATTAACACCTGCAGTTCTGGTTATAGAGATACGCCACACCAAGTTGTCAGTAGCAGAGGGGGGATTAACAATGTCGGCAAATGCGCTCTCACACCAGCCGAGAGACCATTGTAGAGTAGAGGTGAAGTAGAGCACGACTGATCCTGCAAACTCGTCCCCTGAGTAGAGGGTCACTGCCACCTGATCGTTACTCCCCAGCACAGCATCAGTTCTAATTTCTAAAGGTGTCGACTCAAGATCCCAATCTATTTTCACGTCACGTTCGACTGGTAACTCACCTGTTAATTGTATGTTTAACTCATGACTACTAGGATTTAACACCAGGAAATAACACAATTTCAGGAAAACAACATCAGGAAATAACCCAATCCCAGGAAAAACTAATAATAGCACCAATTCCAGGAGATGACCTTGCTCGGAAGTCCCTTGTCTGCCCACCGAAGTACCACAACCGAAGTGGGTTTGCTCTGAGACAGGTAGTGACAGCTTCAAGACTCCAGAGGTCTGTTGCATTGATATTTATTATTTTATGATTTCGTATATACTTTGGGAGTCCTGGAATGCAGCTAGCAGGAGTTGCATTCTGTGGGCACGGCGAGAGGGTCTCCTTCTTTATACTTATAGTAAGAGGCCAGAAACCGTTGACCAGAACAGAGAGAGAGAGAGAGATCTCATTCGGGGAACAGTAATTGATACAATTATGACCACCTTATTAAGTTATAAATAACAATATGCTAACTATCCTATATCCCATATCCCATAACCTATAATATGTGTTATATTATGTTAAATAACACACTTGAAATTTAGACAGAAAACACGTAATCACGAGCTTACGAGAAAATCAGCAAGGTGGTTTATTTATAAATTAAAGTTATTGTTACTTTGTTAAACCAATGCTTGTTGTTATTAGTCACCTGGTAATTGTAATTGTGTTCCGTAGTAATCAGATGCTGTGTCAGAGGAAGAGAACTTTATCTTTGTCACGTCTCTGTTCCAGACAGTGCTCCAATCAGGGGGACCGCACGTTGATTGAGAGAGCAGTATGTTGAGCACCTCCTCGTCGTTACAGTGTATCACGAGTCTAACACCTGCAGTTCTGGTTAGAGTGATACGCCACACCTTGACAGTATCAGAGGGGAGAATAACAAGGTTGGTTTCTTCTCTGGAGCACCAGTCGATGTAGTATTGTGGAGTAGAGTAGAAGTAGAGCTGGACTAGTCCTGCATTCTCTCCCTCAGCAGATAAGAAGTACACCATCACCTCATCGTCACTCCCCAGCACACTATCAGTCCTAATTTCTAAAGGTGTCGACTCAAGATCCCACTCTATTTCCACGTCATGTTCGACTGGTAACCCACCTGGTAATTGTATGTTTAACTCATGACTACTGAGCAACGATTAATGAATATCATGAATTTAAAGAAAAGATGTTCTAACAAAATTGCGAAGGAATTGTAAGAATGTCGCCCATAGTTTATTCTCAGAGTTTAAGGGCCCGACCATACTATGACTGTTGACTCCATGACTGTTGTTATGGTGCGGTCAGATGAAATGACCATAGGTACGTAGTGTGTTTATAGGGTGTGCCAAGGATACGTGACAACTCCCCAGGCACGTCGCGAGCGGCTTTTCACTTTTCAAAAGCCGTGCCTAGCCAAAAATCCATGCCTGACGTGACTGCAGGCACAGTCTATTCAGTACTCGTGCCAACTGTCATGGATAACGTGACGTCACGATTACCTTATAAGGTCTATATTTCGCGTGATATGGACATTGGCAGTGCAGAGTGCAAAGATAGTATTATAGTACAGCTACAGATCGTCTGAAAAATCGATCTACCGACACAAAAAGCTTTCAAAGGATTTAAGACGTTATTAGGCTGACTAACGTTCCAAAATTTTCCACATGTCTTAAGGCCACTTTTTGTTACTTTTGACACTTTTTACCACCTTTCTTGGTTGTCAAATATCTTCAGCTGTGAACATCGTAGAAGGTTACAAATTAATCGAGGGTGTTTATCTTATCGACGAGAACTTTTTGTCCGAAAAATGTTCACGTCAGACAATCAGATAATTTGATAATTACTAATTAGCTAATTATATAATTACCAAAAATCATAAAAATGTTTATTGGCTCGAGAATTTTTCGAGAATTTTTCGAAAATTTTTCACTTATACATTTTTTGAGACTTTAAAAAATTTTGAAAATTTAAAAATATAATATTTATAAGTTTTTTCGAAGCTCAGACCATGGTTTGGTTGACGAACCGCATCATACCGAATTGGTCCCCATTGGGAATCAAACCCCAGTCGTCCGCGTGAGAAGCAAATGTATTAAAACCACTAAACCACCCGGCCGACGTGACAGCACTCACTTTTTACTATTTCTATCCCAATTGTCATAATATGTTTACTCGATATCTCAATCATTAGAGTAAAGCTAGAGCTCACTTTCTTCTCAGGAAAACTGTAATTTGAAAGGCCAATCACTATGCACTATAATTTGACTTGATCCAATTATTTCGAATAAGTAATAACTAAAATATGCGATATTGAACGTTGATTCGAAAAAAATTGAAATAATTTTAATTAAATTTGATGTACACGCCGATAAAGTTATGACAGTAAGTCGTTTTCATAAAAATTGGGGAAATTTGGTTTTCATGAATACCAACTAGTAATTACTAATTTTAAAACATCTCCAGTTGTGAGGATGGTACGAGGTTTCATTTTTATTTTAATCGAAAAATTTGTTGCTATTTGGATAATAAGCAAATTAATCAATTAGCTTATTATTCAATCAGTGGTTGTACTTTTAAAGCCCTTAGTAATCGATTAGTAAGTGATATCAGAATAAGTATTTAAATAGTAAATCAATTGTTAACTGAAACGTTTGGGTGGTAACGTTTAGCCTCCCGTGTCCATAATTATAATATGACTAGTAAAGATTTTACCATATAAAATGTTACCTTTGACTGATGACCATGACAGTAGGGTCGTCAAAATGAAGATCGTTATCGTCATGACGTTTTACCACTCACTCACAACTTGATAAAAATGAAACAACTAATATGTTATAATTATTTATCATTAATAATGTACTTATTATTTTACACACTAGTATAAGAATAATAAAAAGTTCTTCTTTTGATTGGTCGGCGTCGACTGTAAGCCTTCCTTGCGGTGGCTTTCACAACGCGTCCCCATTCTCCAACTCCTGCTGCTGGAGAGAGAGACTCCCAAATTATATACCATAAATATATTATACATAGATATCGACAACAGACTCCGAGAGTCTTGAAGTGCTGTTACCACCGCCCCTGGTGCAACCCCTTACGGGTTAACGATGGGGAGACAGGGACTTCCAGGGACGGTCAGTGCCTATAAAACTGCAAGATGTCCTATATGTGTTAGTGGTTGATGGGATCCTCGAAAAGATCCTCCTTTAGTAGTCTATTGGTTGCCTCGATAAATTTTATAACCGTACTAATTCTAGCTGATACTATGTCTTCCCAGGTTAGAAATATATTACCGAAAATTCTTAGCCTAATGGTCATGTATCCTATACAGTGACACATGAAGTGTTCCGAGGTTTCTTCCTCTTCTGGACAGTGTTCACAACGGGGGGATGTGAAATTGTTTGCCTTGTATTGGAAGTAGGCTAGGGGGCTATGTCCTGTGAAGAGCCAGGTTAGCCATCTTTGATGATTTCCTGCAAGTCCAAGATTCCTGTATTTATATTTGGTGAGTAGGATTGTTAGTGGTATTTTCCCTTTCTCGCTCAGTGCCGTGTTCCTGTATCTACGAAGATGAATTCCGTGTAAATACTCCTTTACTGCCGTCTTAATTGCTCCTTCGGATATGCTGATGAAGGGTTCAGGACCTAAAGCGATTGTGAGTGATCCTTCTCTGGCTAGTTCATCAGCTCTTTCGTTTCCTGGAATACCTGCATGTCCTGGGACCCACCTGACATTGACTGAGTGTGTTTGTCCTAGTTTGTTAAGGTAGTTAATGGTATCAAGAACTAAGTTAGATGTGACCGTGTGGTGTGTGACTGCTAGGATTGCTGCCTGTGAATCTGAAAAGAATGTTATACTCCCAGGTTCTGAAATATTGATAGTTGCCCAGTGAGCTGATGTGTTGAGAGCAAACAGTTCACACTGGTATACCGTTGCATTAGTGCCTAGGTGGAAACTTTGTCTCTGGACCTCGCTTGCGTTTCTTATTACGCAGTAACCTGCACCTGAGAACTGTTCTATTTTTGAGCCGTCTGTGAAAATAGCCCAGTGTGTTGCTGGGGTGATTCCGACCTGCTGTGTTGCTTTAGACCGCTCCTGTATTATTGTTTTAAACTTCCGATCCAAGACTGTGGTAGTTTCGATAATGTCCGTAATTTTACATTTCATCGCTGGTATGGTTGACATAGCTTTGTCCAGATTGTATGCATGGGACTTACAGTTTCCTGTTCTGCTAAACTGGTAGTTAGAATTCCAATTACCGTTAATTTTGAGTCTCCGAGCTGAAAGTATGGCCAGTTCCTTGAGTTTTAGATCAATGGGTTTGATTCCTGCCATGATTTCCAAGTTTTCTAGTGGTGTACTTTTGAGTCCTCTTGATATCATGATACTAGCGTGTCTCTGAATTGCCTGCATCTTGGTCTTTAGGTATTGGGCTTCGTCTATTCTATGCTGCCATGCGAATGCAGCGTAACCTAGAGAAGGGAGAATAATTTGGTTATATATCCATCTCGTCCCTGTAGGTGTAATACCCCACGTTTTGCCAACTGCTCTGTTGCATGCCTGAAGATGTTGTACCGCTTTGTTACATTTCACCTGAATATGCTTCCCCCATGATAGTTTGCTGTCAATGGTTACTCCTAGATAGACTGTATCAGTTACCTGAGGGACCTGATTATTACCTACCATTAGTGGGTTAGTAAGCATATTATCCCTTTTATTTGTAAAAAGGATTGCCTTAGATTTTAACGCACTAAGTTTGAGACCTTTACTGGCACACCACCTGTTGATGTTAGTTAGATGCCGTTGAGAAATTTCCTGAACCGTAGTTTTACAAATTCCGCTGATTAGTATTACCAGGTCATCCGCAAAGGCTTGGACAAAACTAGTGTGTATTCCTAGTGAGCTGAGGAAAGTGTCCAGCGTTATGTTCCATAGAAGTGGGGACAGAACTCCTCCTTGTGGACTTCCTTTAGTTGCTTTCTTTGTGGTATCGTGACCACAGTATGTGACTGTGATCATCCTGTTACTTACCATGTAGTAGATCCAGTTTGTGATTGTTTCCGGAATCCCTGCTTGTAACAGTGCATCTTTGATTGCCTGAAAACTAATTGCATCAAATGCCTGTTCGATATCAAGAAAGATTCCAAGAGCATAATTTCCTGTTGCCACGGCGTCCTCAATTTTCCTTGTTAGTATATGTATTGCTGATTCTGTTGATTTCCCTTTCCTGAAACCGTGTTGACTCTTAGTAAGTTTCGCTGGGATCTTGAGGTCCTGTTCGAGATACCAGAGGATAAGTCGTTCTAGAAGTTTCTGGAAACAGGATGTTAGTGAAATTATCCTGAATGCCTTGGGCTTTGTGTAATCTGGTTTTCCAGGCTTCGGGATTACACAACCTGTTGTTGATTGCCACGAGGTTGGTGTACAGCTTAGAGCTAATGAATGGTGGAAAATCATTCTTAGAGGGTCCTTTATTTTATTCCAAGCTTTTATGATCATCTCATTTCTAATTCCGTCTGGACCTGGTGATTTGTTCATGTTAAGATCTTTTACTGCCCGATTCAAGCGATGTGGTGCCGTAATCTTGAGAATCATTGCAACATCTGGTGCACTCTGCTGTGTTGGCAGGGCTGGGCTACCGTCCGATGGTATGAGAGCATCGGTGAGTACCTGTAGAGTTTCCTGGGGTGAGTTAGTTAAAGTACCGTCTGGTTTCCTTAAACTATTGAGCGAGCCTTGTGTTCCATTATTTCCTAGAACTTTATGGATACGTGATAAAGCAGGGATCTTGGTAATATTTCCTGTGAATTGTTTCCAATTTTGTCTTTTCGCCGTTCTGATGAGGTTTGCATATCGTCTGTTAGCTTCAGCATAAAGTTCCCAGTCCGGGCTGTTTCTCTTTCTGTTAAATTTACGTCGCAGGGCTTTTGCCGTCTGCTTGGCTTTCGTCAGTTCAGCATTCCACCACGGTACAGTCGATCTTCTTGTGCCTCTTGTCAGAGGGCATGCTAGCTCAAAGGAGCGCAGAAGGGTGTTGGAGATAAACAACTGTCTGTCATCGAGATCCGCCGATGTAACAACCGGTTTAAACCAGAAGGGGGTGTTATCGAATGAGGAGGAAACTAGCGTCTCATAAAGTTGCCAGTCACATTTCGCCGGACTGCGTGACGCAAAACTTGTTCTGTTACCTAAATCTAGGGAATAACAAATAGCTTCGTGGTCCGATAGTGATTTACCTTGATCTACTTTCCAGTTATGGATTAAGTTGATCCCTGCTAGATTGCAGATAGTAAGATCTATACAGGAACTCCCTCTACTGCCTACAAAAGTGGGTGTTGTGCCTGTGTTACAGATTATGAGATTATTTGCGTTTAGTACCTGCAAAAGTTGTTGACCTCTGTTGTTTGTGTTTGGGTGTCCCCAGGCCGTGTGGTGAGCATTGCTGTCCACTCCTAGAACCAGAGGTAACTTTTCCTTATCTGTAAACCGTGCTACCCTGTCAATTATATCGGATGAAATGTTCTGTGTTTGGTCCAAGTAAAGTGATCCTAGTACAATCGACAGTGAGCTGTTGATCCTACTTCTAATAAAGATAGAGTCAGCAGAGGAGAAATGTCCTAGTGTCATAGAGTTTCTAGCTAGATCCTTTGGTAGGATAGTAGCCACTCTGGCTCTGTCCTGACTAAAGGGAACGAACTGTTTGTGAGTTTTGGGGACGTTACTAATACTCCCTTTCCTAAGCTGAGGTTCCTGTATTAATAAAATCTCGTGTTGTTTAACCTCCTTTAACAGTGCTGAGGAGGCCGTGATGCGTTTACCTAGGTTAACCTGTGTAATGCAGGTAAGAAATGAAGAAGTGCTAGCCATAGAAAAAAATAAAAAAGAAACAGTGCCTATCTAGTACTAACCCTGAATTACTGCGTGGAGGTTATGCTGACTCCCCCTCCGAGGCGTCAGATACGTCCGACTGTGCTTTCCCGTCTTTGTTCATCAGTTTTTTCAGTTTGTGTTGCCTAGCTGGTGGTGCCTCCTTGAAGGGAGTGCTCGTCCTGGGTGTTGTGGGGGTCGTGGGTGGAGCTGTCGCAACGATTTGCAGTAGCTCGTTCTCCTGTTCCACGGTGAGTTGTTCCGTAAACAAATCATTCTCCTCAAGCGGGATGGGGAGTCCCGTATCCTCTCCTGTGACGTACCTACAACGTATATCCTGCAGCTCTGGCGTCTGTTCTATTATCGTGTTATCATGCCCTACTCCACTCGGTCCTGGTTGCTGGTCTTTCAGCTCATCCCTGAGGGCTGAAATGTCCGTGTCTGGGGCAATGTACCCTCTTATACCTCGAACAGGGAGTTTACCCCACCTAACCATAAAAAGTCCTATCGGGGACATCCAGTTTTTTGACCGTAACCACTCAAATGCCTCCTCGTCAATCTCGAGGTACACGTTCCAGCTTCCTGTGTTCATATTGTCCGGTTTCCAAGCTTTCCTGGAAATCTTGACCTGATTTTGGCGAACCTCGCCAAATGTCCCTGCAGCGAAATGTTCGTTTATTTTTGGCAGGATACTTTCTGCTGGTCCTGGTAGGAGGGTATGAATTATTCTACCAGGTGGTTTTTCACCTGGCAGGAAGGCCTCGTACTCTGCCAGCTCGTTTACGGCCTTTTTGTAGAAGGGACCTGCTTTTGGGGTACAACAAATTGCCAGGTGCATGTGTGATAACCTGGTTCCCTTGTGAGCGATGTCCTCTCCGCTTTTACCTTCCTTCGTAGCCCTAAGTATAGCCTCAGACACCTTAAACTGGACCTCCCACTGATT